TACTAAAGTATATACGTGTACAGTGCTAATTCTGCTATTTATTGCTAATTTCGCTATTTTCTTCATGTAAGTGTCCCTATTTTTTTGCTAATGTGCTAATTCTAATTCGCATGGATATCCCCTAGGAATGAAGTAATGTTTACACATGTATGTTGCCAGAATTCATTGGCTCCTTTTTGGTATTTTCCAAATATGTATAACTAAAGTTATATATTCAATATTATGACTTATGAATGTGTGAGAGATTGTAATTTATATGTGTGTGTGCCTTGATTTCGGGCGCACTGAACCAAAGTCGATCCACTTGATATAAGAAGAACCGCACACAGTTCATAACAAGTTTGTTTGTTCACAAGTTATTGCAATTTAAAATTGAAAAGTTAAATAAATCTGAGGCGGTGTATGCGTGCAGTAAATGTTTGTTCGCATCTGCATAGCTATGTCACATATTCTCTGTAGTTTATTATTGCTCCGCAATCTGAATTGGTAGCCACGTATCAAATGGCAACATAAAACAAACATCTCTAAATCTCACAGAAACCGGGGCATTTAAGACAACTGTGTTGTGCACTTGTGTCGTTATGAAATTGTACGCGATTATTTATCGATTCGAAAAACATAAACAAAATGTTCGAGAGACCAATTTCAGAGAGTTGTTTATAGTTGTTAGTATATTGTAACTGTGAACGAGTGCGAGCGAACGAGCGAGTGAGAAGACAAGATAGAGATGTATAGTAACATTTTCACTTGGCTTCTCATGTTTCTCATACATTGGCATCCGTAGCCCATTTGTTGTGTATATTTCATGCATTAATTCATTCGAAATGTGAAATTGCAGTGACAATGCAGGTGCGGGCTTTAATTTTTTTAGGTGTGTATATGCGTTTATGTATGTGTGTGTGTGGTAGTTGCTCTGTTGTTGGCATCTCTTACTGAATTTGTGGATAAAGTTTTTCGATGGCACATTCGCTTTGGATCACGCAACGCACATAAATAAATTATGTTGGCAAATTTTTCATGTATGGACCAAAAACCGCAATTTTGTCGCTCTCTCTCCCGCTTCCTCTCCCGCCCTCGCTATTTCAACTTCTTCTCTTTTTCGTTTAAAATTAGTTATCGTTAACTACGGAACGGCCACAAGGAATTGACTTCAGTTGGTTGGCGAAAAATTGTGATAATACGCTGTTGTTGGGCACTGCATTTCCGGCGATTTTTCTCAAACTGGATGCTGAATTTGAAACATTTTTTTGTGTGTGTCTCTTGTATATTATTAAAACTTTTTCAACGCTGCATGGCAGGCAAAAAAGGAACCGTCGACCGACAACAAACGCATTCATAATTTACAAGACTTGCAGTAAATAGAGACAGGTCAAACGAAACAAAACAACAATCCTTTGACGCATATTAAATTTTCACCATGCAACGTGACCTCAACACATTTTGTGTGTTTCCGTTTTGAATGCACCTTTTGTTAGGCCTTTCATACAATTTATTTTAACAATTTGTTTCCATCGTCTGCAATACGACGGGCTGCAAGAGTTGTGACGACAGCATCGCAAATTCGGACAATGCACATTCACAACGGAAGGATGCCCATTAGCAGGAATCCTGTATTTCTTTTTTTTTTCGGTGAAAAACTTTATTTTGTTATAAATTCCTCCAGCTACCGAAAATGATTTCCAGTTCTTGCTGCGCACGCGAGAGATAAATTGTCTAATAGATTTGTTTCTTGCTTTTTTTTCTTCACTTTGCCAAAGTTAGAATTAGCCATTCGAAATCGGTTTTAAAACAACTAAACCTGCAACGGTCACGAAGGACTTTGATAAAAGGCAAATAACATTCCAAAATATAGTCGACGACAAATTCGCTTATTTGTTCTCGTTGCCAAGCAGGCAACTGTGTGTCGGCAAGATAACATTGACGTGAAAAATATGCTTAAATAAATTGTTGAAATGCTAATTAAAAAATTCATCACGTTTCTATTGTGAGCTCCTTCGCACGGAAAATGGTTACGCGAGAGAAATGCTGTTTCCGTCTCACGTTTTGCATCCATTTTTTTTGTCTTTTCTTGTTGCCCTTTCTCACATCCAAGTTTTATGCTATTTTTGTCGTACGATTTTGCTAAACGTCGCGTGTGATTTCATCAACCGGACTTTCTCTCTCTCTCTCTCTCTCTCTCTCTCTCTCTCTCTCTCTCACTCGTTAGAAGTTCATTGAATATTCTAGCATATCGAGTGAAACATTCAAGAACAAACCAAGCAAATAAATAAATGAATATCACGACGACAATTGTTGAAAGATGCATTTTGTCCGTAATCGGACAAGAAAAAAGTACACGAACTTGGGTGGCTTTGGTGATTTTGTGTCCCTTTTTTTCGCTCGCCATTTTATCATTCAGTAAGTGATTGCTTGCCATTTGTTCGCCAATTTCAGTTAACTTTGCATGGAGAAATAAAGAGAAAAAGTTTGCTAAAATAGATATTAGCCATTCATCTCGCGATGACAAACAAGAAGTAAGAAACTGTGAAATAAACAGTGTGTTATTGTTTAAAACTGGATAAAAACTCATTTGTAACTGTTCAACCTTAAATGAAACGATGCCATTGCTTGAATAATCAGGTTTGTGTTCGGGTCTTGAATTTTAAATGGTGTATGCTTGTGAAACAACCTGAACCGTTTGAAATGACAATTTTCTAAACAATAAAAAATCGGCTATTTTTCACCAGTATACAATTTATTCATTCAAGCGTTTTGATTCTATTTTGCATTTGGTAGAATTCTGAAATTGATTTAACTCAACTTGATTATGTATTCAACGTACGTGTTTTATGAATTATTTTTTGTTTTTGAAATACTTTGAATGGGAAAGAGTAATTTGAATACTTCTTAAATCGTCTAAGATGTTTTGGGTAACGTGTTTTTAACGAAAAACTTTTAATGAATGCGCTTCAAATGATTCTAATGATTTATAACTCAAATTGAGTGCTAGGGGGTAGACACAATAGAGAATGAATGAATACCAATGAATTGTCATAATACCTATCTATTTTCAAATACGACAATTACTTACTTATTTGAAGATTATTTGTACTAAAAATGTGAATACCGTGATTACCAAATGTCAAATTGATATCGGTAATAAAGATTTCAAGTTTTTTCCATTTCGTTTTAACATTCACCATTTCGAAATTTATTTTAATTTTTTCTGTTTTCTTTATGTTATTTTTATCAAAATTGTTTTTGCATTTATTAAACCAATTGAAATAATACACTTAATAGCGTTGAAAAAGTTTTTTTAATATTTGGAAGATAATATTCATATATGCACATTGTAAGACGTTGCTGAATGCATTGACATTTCGTCTAAAACTGAGAATACCAAGAACACCTTCAATTTCGGTGAAAATCTCAAGTAATATTCCCGATGGGAACTAGTATCGTATATTCCCCATACAAATTAATTTTACCGATTCTACGAATACGACATCTGTTAAAAAAGATACCGATTTTTGTTACTACTGTTGCTTAGACACAGCTTGAGCGAACTATACGGCTATGGCTGTATTACAGACGAACTAATACAAAAGAACACACAGACTCCGATCCTGTGTATGCGTATGTATTGTAAATTTTGCACAAGCAGCTACGATTGACGACTGAGTGCAGAATTTGTAATACATACGCATACACAGAATCGGAGTCAGTGTGTTCCTTTGTACGTTTACACGAGCTGTATTAAAACACCACTAGTAACAGAAATCGGCGAGTTTTTTAGAAGATGTCGTATTGGTGGAATCGATAAAGAAAAATCGACGATATTAGCGCTCATTGAATATTCCATGTGTCTACCCCCTAGGTTGAGTGCATTGAACGGTTATTGTCATCAAAATTACGAAGCAATAAAATGATTTTTGTTTTGTTTTTTCATTTCATAGTATTTATCAAGCGGAAGCATTTCATAACAATACACCGAAATAGTGTTGAATAACATCGACCGCTGAAATTGTTCATGAAAATGCGTGCAAATTGAATTAAAATTAAGAGTGTTTACATTTACTAAAATCATTACTTCCGCTCATCGCGTTGCCGATTTTCCATTAATTTTTGTTACTTTTTCTCTTCTGTTTATCGCACAAAAAGTGATTCATTTATGCCAAAACGCACTATAAAAGCATATCAATGTGGCATTGGATTAAAACACAAAAATTAATGCACATACACCCACAGTATATAATAATTTCTGATTGAATTTAATTATGAGCTGATTATTTCGATGAAATAAGCGGAAGCATGTTGTGTTTTTACTATTATAAATACTTGTTTACAGTTTGGCGCGGAAAAATAATAAAATTAAACATGGTTTTTAAATGATGCGTAGGGGGTAAAGCGGACATTTTTTGTATGTTTAAAAATGGCTGATTAATGATACCTGAAAATGAAAAGTAATTTGATTGTTTGAACAAATACATTTGATAAATGTACAATTGGAATTAATTCAAACATTTGGATTCATGTTTATTTTATTGCATCGATTCGGTATGTGCGAATGCATATCATTTGGTATGAATTAAACATCATTCATTCGATGCTTATTAGATTTTCATAAATCAATTCATTTAAAAGCCGGTTCATATTTGCACGAATCGTTTTTTCGTTCATTACATTTTCCCCACAGTGTCCAATGGTGAAATTCATGATTCGAATTTGATATTGCTCAATAACAAATAAACGGAAAAATGGACTTGGACTTATCGGTTTACACAAATTATAATTTAATGCCAGAAATATATATAACTTGAATCATAATACATTAGATTATAATTATATCCTGGTTATTTTTCTCTCTCTCTCGCTGTCTCTCTCTATGTAGTGTATGTTTTAAATACTAGCGAGAATTGAGGTTTTCGTGTCACATATTTGAATTTTGTAAAAGAATTACTACATTTTTTCCATGTGAAATTAAATTCCATTGATGTTACTCTCTTTTTTTTTTTGTTCAGGATGCAATGCACAGAAGAGAGACCAAGAAGATCCGTGCAAAACAAAAGCTCGTGTTGTTGGTGATGTAACCTATTGCGATCGATACTGGGAATGTGGAAGTGACAATCAACCAGAACTATATGATTGTCCAAATGGTTTGGTATTTGCTGGTAAACATCGTGGTGTAACTGAAGGTAACTTGAGTGTGAATCTTCTTCATCCTTTAAATGTTTTCTTCATTCTTTGAATCCTTTGAAACAGGTTGTGATTACCCGTGGCGTTCCGATTATTGCGATGGCAAACAATTAGCAAGTATGTTTAAATGTGCAAACATGATCAAAATCGAAAAAAAAAAACCAAAATGAAACCGTAATTATTTCTTCTTGGTTAGATGGACCGGTTCAAACAGATCACTGTGATTGGTTGTATGGAATCTTCGGACATGAGACATCCTGCACTCGATACTGGACATGTTGGAATGGTACTGCCACGGAACAACTCTGCATTGGTGGTTTGCTTTATAATGAAAATGCTCACAGTTGCGACTGGCCGGAAAATGTTGAGGTATTACTTACTTTCCGGCCAATTTTGATAAGAAAATGACCAACGGACAAGCGCAATTTGGACAGATACTTATAACACCATCTACGTAAAACACGCTGACTACAATGTAAATCAAACGTATATTTGTTTCCCCTTCTTCTTCATCTCCTTCCCCTCGCTATACTTTTACATTGTAGTAAGCCTGTTTTACACAGATGGCGTTTTTCTGTAAGATATATGACGTCACAATACAATCATATTGACTGCGCTCATCTCTCGGAAATGACATTTAAAATTTGAAGAGCAATTAACAATAAATTGTTTCAATTTTTGCAGGGTTGTCAAAAGCATCCATTGTGCAATGACGATGCAAATGGAAATGTCCCATTGGGCAAAAGTTGCAATCGATATTGGCAGTGTCAAGGGGGCTATCCTCGTTTACAGCGTTGTCCAGCACAGGTAGGTAGCCCAGTAAATAAATAAGAAAAAAAAATTAAATCAATAAACAAAATGAATTTATAAGAATCAGATTTGAAATTAATGAAATTTGGTATATATAAAAAGTTTGCATGATTGTGCCGATTTTGACATTAATATGCTTTGTAAGCTTAACTAAAATTAGTAGAAAGCCATTATATTTTTATCTTCAAATTCATAATTAAATATGTGAATATGATTAGAAATTAATTTAGTTTCATTTATTTATGTAATAATTAATAATAAAAATAAAATATCAATTGAATCTTCATTAATAATTATTCTTTTTTTTATCAGCTTGTTTTTGATCGTAGATCGTTGCGGTGCGTTGTTCCACCAACGGAAGATTGTGACATTCCAACTACACAACTGCCACTCGAAAGTGATCTACAAGAAAATGTACAGTTGCCCAGTCGCGGCAATGATCATGCCGGATCACATGATCATCAAAGGCAATTTGAAGAAGATGACGACAACAGTGGTGTTTTGCCGCATTTACTTATAAGCACATATAGTCATAGAAGACCATGAACAGTATTTTAAGAAAGTGCATCGTTTTGCCTTCAACTCACAAAAGATATCATTTTTGTTTTTCATTTTATTCTCTTTACTAATATTTTCTGCTATTTTTTTTTTCAATCCACTTGAAAATACGCCTTAAACTATGATTTATTATTACTACACATCAAATGTAAAACAACAACAAAATCTAAAACTTTAAATGTTTTATTTTCATAGCAAAATTGTAGTTTGAAATAAATTTTAAAATACCAACAACGTTTATTAATCATTTAACCCTCTAGTCCATAGCCCTGCATTTAGGCAGGGTGTATAAATTATTGTCTAAAATATATAATTAAAACCAATTAAAATATATTCAGCAGGGCTCAGGCTTTCATTTGCCGGTCATTTGACAAGTGAAAATAAAGCGCTTGTTTATTATAAACACAAAAGTACGGAAAAACAGGAATTTGACAAAAAAATTATCTCTCTCTTCGTTTATAGCAGTTTAAACAATGGTTTCGATTGTTCTCCAATTTTGTCTCATTTTTTGAGTAAACTATGCAATTTTTTGAATTTCGATTATTTTTTTATGGAATTTTAAACCAAAATAATCATAGAAAAATAGTTCTCATGTCGAAAAAAAATTAATGCATTAGAGGGTTAAGCTGGAGACAGTGAAAACTCAATAGAAGAGATAGAAAAGCTGAAAAATAAACAGAAATTCTTAGCATGCTCTAAATAATTATTGAAAAATGTCAAGAATTACCTCGTTACTATTTTCTTTGCAACAAACCATTGTTTGATATGAAACTTCAATTGGATCTTTGATTTTACTAACCCGTTTTGCACAACCTTTGGTTATTTTCAAGTATTTGTCTTGGTCCTCTTCTGACATCTTCTCCATGAGCTGATTAAATGAAAATTACTGTGTATTATAACAAATATCAATTAATAAAATTTACCTCAAAGAAAACAGACGGATCAAAAGCAGCACTGCCCGGCTTCATAAAACCAGCCTCAACCCATAAGCAATGGAAGTAACATTTTACATTTTTATTATTTGGTAATTTATTCAAATCCGTTGTGAGCTCGAATTCTTTTATCTCTTCCATGTTTGGTTCACATCGTTGAGAACAAGTTTTTACCATTGTTGGTATGTCATAATACTGATAGACAACCTCGGGTGGCCACTACAATTCACACAAAAAAATTGATTCAAAACTATATTTTGAAAATTTGAATATTCATCTATACAAACTTTTCCCGGAATTTTCCAAGGTTCAACGGCAACTAACAGAGAAAAAATACAAGTTAAAGTCAACAAATCCAATTTCATATTTGCTTCAGAAATTAATCAATTTCTACCAAAAAAAATCTATTGCCCGAATGAATTAATGGCATGGCTTTATATAGTGTAGAAATTTCATCGTTGTGGGCGGTTAATGTCAACTTCAAAATAATCAAATGCTTTCCAAATAAAAAATGTCCACATTATCCGGCAAACATAATCAGCATGTTATTGAACCTGCTAACTTGAAGTTTACTTGCCAAATGTATGTGACCGTTTAATATTGAAAAACTTAATTGTTGCGTACGATCGATTTTAATTGTAACCATTAAATCATTCACATTGCATTTAGCACTGACAGTTCTACAAATAAAAAAAAAACAACCATGTAGTCAATCATTCATAAATTTGTTCGGGGTAAATTTTAATTGAATGCATTTTGACATTTTTAATTGTCTTGTTTACTTTTACCTGCAGTAGATCAAATTATATTCAACTTGAATGATTTGCAATTAAAATGATTGATAGCCACATTTATGTGACATTGTCGCAGAAATACTGAATGAATTCATGGAATTTTTTGTTAACAAAAAGCAGATTCACCGGAAAAATTCAATCATTTAATTTTATGCTTCCAATAAATGACATAAAAGTGAGCAATGTGTACGAATCATTTTGATTCAAGTTAAATCAATATTTTAACCAATTTCATTTAATTTAACTTAAAAAGTTGAGATTCGTTTACATTCAATCAGAAGCAAATTGAACAAATACATTCATTTATATAATAATCAGTTTTCCATTTAATTTTGACACTTTTATTTACTTTTGATTGTGCAATCTGTGGCACGTTCAATGTATGAATGACATTTCAACAAAAATGTCTTGAAACATGCATACACACGTCAATTGATTTTGTCATCATTTTTGTTTATTTACTGTTTTTGACATTATTTCATTTGCGACAATTCTTTTCAGCTGTAATCATAACTGAACAATACAAATGAAGTCGTATAGCGAGAAAAAACAAGCTCAAAGTCTATATAAAGAGGCAAGTGTAAGATGTGGCATGAAGTTTTACGTGTATTGTATGTATTTATAAAGAATATTTGTAATATAATAAACAATACACAAAACCGTCTGTGTATTTTATCAGCGCGGGAGAGAGACGACAACATGTTGCCGGTCTTTTATATTCTTTATCATCGGCGTTTCGTATGAGTGCAAATCAGTAAACATGAGACTTCGACCGTAATACAAAAGAATTAGTTTATAAATTGCAGTCAGCGTAACAAAACGTCAAACGTGAACTCAATATTAAACAGTTTTGCAGACAAAAACAAACTAATTGCTGTGGTTCAATTTCGAAAATTCAACAATTTCGCTTGTGTTTTTATTGTGCGGTCAGTGTTTAACAAGAGTGATTTTATTTTATTTTTGCTTTCATTTCTCCTTCTGAAAATTTGTTTTTGGTATGATTATTGTTTCTGGATTCGGTGTAAATTTCATTGCTGTGAAGTGATGAAAAGAAGTTTGAAATTGGATCTTCCTGTGCTGAATGACAGTGACAGTGAATCGAATAGAAAAGAAATGGCCATTAAACCGTATACAAAACTCCATCTGTGCTCCTTAAAGTAATAAAAATTCAATTAAATGGTATTCCGGATCGAATGAATGCCAGACAGACAATTGCATGTCTTCACAGTATTCCAGCGTGAAATTGGCATTTTTATATCGTCTCGTTTGTATGAAGAAAAGAAAACGAAAACTATTCGTTGCAATTGGATTTTTAATTACTTGAGCTATTCGAATTCTTTGCGTTTTTTTTAAGTTTTGTTAATTAAAACTTCACACATCACGCGGAAAAATTCATTCATTTGGAATAAATTTTTGAGTAGTAGAATTTAAATTGTCAGACAGAGTGGACAAAACAAAAAAAAACTGCATTGAATATTCTGCATCGAGATTTTTTTTTTTTGTATTTTTTGATTGTGCGCATTGCCGTTTTAAATTAACATATATTTTTTTGTTCGTTCTCAACAAATCGAATAATCGATGCATAGACCAGATCGTATACGGTTTTTTTTATTCCAATAGGAGAGATCATTTTTGCTCTTTGATGCGGAACTTTCGTCTATCTATTGTGATATCGTTTTTATCTGATATCCAGTCCAAAGAAATTAATTTTTATCAATACTCTCTTTGTATGTCTCCCATTAAAATGCAGTTCCAAGCGATAAAATTAAATTGGTTTTTCAAAAACGTATACTCCCACACAATCAACGGAAAGTCTGAGCATGAATGTACTTCAACAACGAATATTTTCAATTATGGATCATTTTCTTTCGATTTCACAATCTATATGCACTCCATTTGGAAAATAGTTTTAAAAGAATCAAAGACAGTTCCATTTGTATTTCGTTTGCTAGCTAATGCTGCAATCATTTGCACAAGTCTAAAAAAAAGAGGGTAATTGCTGTTGATGATACATACTCCACCACCTCTCCGATGAAAATAAAGAGCTTTGTTTGCATGTCAAATGCAATATCAACCCAATGACATAACCAATGTTCATCTAATTTCCACTTGTTATTGTCATTCATCCAATGGCGCCTAACTCCTTCTTCTACTTCTTCTTCTTCTTCGTTTTCAAACGCGCGATCTCTTTCAAATCGAGTTGACATAGGAAAAATACAGCTCAGTTTGAAATAACAAAGTAGAAAAAAAACAATGCACAGACACTGACACAAAGAGAAAAGTAGTGATAGCGAGAGAGAATGGGAGATATGGAAAAATTTAATTGAATGTCGACTGCAGACAATTTTACCGCATCATTTTATCATCGTAAAAACTATCGAAGCCATTTCCATAAGTTTTTATCGAGTGGCAAAAATAATTCAATTATAAAGAAGAGTTAAAAACAAAGCCATTTGCCAATGGGGAACTTTTCGACTTTTTAAATGCAAACCAAATACGATGCACTCGACCGGTGCAACAAAACAAGTACGTTTTGTTGGCATTTTTTTTTAACGACATCAAATCCAATTTCGATAGATTTTAAAGTATTTAGAACTTTTGTTCATGCATCCGTGATATCGTCACATTTAACTTGGAAAGGCATACACTTTGGAAGATAAATTGGAAATATCATACGTAATATTTTTTAAAATGTGTTTTGAAATTGCTTTATGAGTTCGATTGTTACAATCAGGCGATATTTATTTCAAAGAGACTTTAATTGAGTTTGCTCCGGCGAAGTTATTTCTATATATTTTATGATCTTTTCGGTTGAATATAAGCGCAATCAAATGCACACAAATTTGTTTCAATATCGAAACCATAGATGGCGTTGGAACAACGAAATTGAGAAGAAAAAACACAATTGGATAAAAATACAAATCTATTTTAAATTGAATGAAGCAAAGTCTATATTTTCCATGTGTATTGCTTTTATAAAATGCTTAAAAATGTAAAAATGTATGTGTATTAACACCAACATTTTCATCCATTGTTTACTACCTCATTTTATAAATGTCCTTGTCTTTTCTCCGTTTATTTTTATTTGGCTGAAAAAAGTCTTTGTTTATTGAAAATAAAAACGTATTTTTCGCGAGAATGTGCAAGGAAACGATAATAAAAACACCATTGCATTATCGCAAAATGACTTGTTATCAACTTTAGTGTCGTTTCTCGATCGAAATATGGTATTTTGAAGATTTTCAGATAAATTTTTATTATGTGTTTATTTTTCTGTATTTGCACAATGTGTCGTTCAATTGTAATCCACCTGGGCCAAGCCGAAATTTTTTGTGATATAAACACGAGGCTCATTTCTATTTTTTCGAATTCCAAAATATGTGCCTTTTGTTGTGTAATGATGTGGCTGCAAATCCCAGCTGAATCAAAATTGTCGAAATGTGAAGAAGAAAACAAAATTCCAAAGTGAAAATCATCGCGCAAATTTGAATGTTCGACTCAAGATAACGATACAACCCCTTTATTACCAATCGTTGACACAAATCCAAGAATGTTACTGAGTTTTGGGACTGTGAATTTTGATAACTGAAGTGGTTTTTATCACTATGTTTGTGGCATCAAATGTGACATAACTCGAAATGATATGAATTTTCTTTGTTACTATAGCGGGTCGCAAAAAGACAATAACCACCTATAATGGCTCTTCTAATGCCATTACAATCGCTATCAATTTAAAATTTATAGAGAAACTTTGACCCGATCGGTTTCATCCAAATGAAATTTCATTTACGTCATATCTTATCGCTTCGAATAAAGATTAAAATGCTAATTCACGTAATGTTTTAGAGAAGCGTTATCTTATCAGTGTGTGGGGAAAAAAAACTGCTAAATGCTCTGGTTAGATTTTGCATTTCAATTAATCTACATCATATGACATTGACATACGACATATTCACAAGTAATCGCTACAAACCCATTTGAAAGTGATTGAATCGAATTGCCGCGAACCGTTTTGCATATTGAGTGTCTTTTTGGAGCCTAAAATTAGTAACATTCATCACAAAGTGTCATGTTATAGTTAACATCAGATGCGGAAATTTGAACAAAATTTTGCCGACGGCAAACATCAAATGAGCAAATCATTCCTCGGTTAATGCAATAAATAACATCTGTGTAAACTACATTTTCTTGATCGTAAATTGCATTAGCTTGTTTCATCTTGGAACTTTCTGTAAACAGGATGTGGTTTTGCAATTGATGTAGACATACGTCAAAACTATCAAAATATTGTTCTGTCGTAATAACGCGAGCGCAAGTTCTTACCAACGGTAAATCTGACATTCAGAAAGCATCTGCGATAATTACAATTGAATTTTTCGTATAATGATGCTTAAACACGGCTTAAGTGCACAATAATGTATAATTTTGTTAAGATTGTAGGCTGTTGTTTTATTTTTCGTCATTAACATGGGAAAATTTTTGAGTGAAAATAATTTACAGCCATGATTTATGTGCATGTGTATGTGTGTGTGTTTATGTGCATAAAGTAGCAGAGCTATAGGAAATGACATAATTATCTCGTGCTCCGTTCATGGTGCACGTTCGTTGTAATTGCTCGCACAAAACACTTGACAAGAGTTTGTTAGATTTTTTATGTGAATGTCTTGTTTTACTTGTATTCCAGATGACTTTTTTATGCATATTACAACATCGGTTCTGGTGGTTGTTGTGCTCTCTATTCGTTTTGATTTATACATATATACGTTGAGTCCTTGTGCTTAAGCATGATTTGCCGTTTGCATAATAATTTCCGCACGCTTCGTTTTCATCTCTCTCGGATATAATTCATCTCAATTTTCAGTTGATGCTTTTGCGATTGCGATTGCATTTTAGCATTTCGAATATTGTTTTTTTTTTAAACTTTATTTATATATATGAGTGTGTTTTGCAACTTTTTTGTATAAAACTTTTTTAATCTCAATAAAGTAAACACGTTCGAGTGTGTACCGCTTATTATATATGTTAAAATTGGAAATGTTAAATTGTGAAATGAAGAAACAAGGAAGTGTGCTTTGAGTGAACAGGACAATGGAAGGATGTGAAGACTTCAAGTCTCTTTGAGCCAACGGTGGCGCCCCGAATTTCAAAGGGGACGTCAATGTAATTTAACAACTCAAATCGAAACTAAACAGCGCGCCAATTTTAAAACTTGGTGTCATTTCCTCCCATTGGAACAGGAGAACAAATTAACAACATTTGAGCTGTGAAAATGGACTGATGAGAGAAAATCAACATTCTTGTGTTGGTGCCTATTTGAATGTCATGTAGTTGTGAATGTTTCGAGTGATATTTACAGTTCCGTTAAAATGACCTCAAGACCATGACCAGTTTTTGTGAAAATTAAAATGATTGAGTCGACTCGTTCAAACTTTTTTTTTGCATAGTTTACTCTAATCGACTATATGATGTGCGTAGCTTGTTGTCATGCATTCGCAAAAATGCTGTGAATTTTATGAAAATTTCGGTGAAAGAGATTTATTTTCCAAATGCAATTATGTTGATTCAATTTACACTTGTTTTTATGCGATTCAACTATTTGTCAAGCCAAGAAGGAGAGAAAGAGAACCTGTTGTATACACATCCAAATTCCACACTATATCTAATTTTAGTTTCTAACTTCTAACTTTTCTGGCATTTGGTTACCTACGAATACCGACAACAAATAGTTTCACACAAAATAGTCGTAGTATGAGTGCTCGATCTCACTCAGCGCACAGCACTGCAATTTCTATGTTTCGTTTGGATTCGCTTGAAAGTTTGTTTGTTTGAATTTGTTGTAGTGTTTGTTGAGATGTATCAAATGCACTTTTCGTACAATCATAAAACAAATGAAACATCATTTATCCACTAGATCTAGATGTGCATTGGCTTTAAATCACGAAATGTTTCACAAAATATCACCGAAACTTTTGCGCTTTTTTTTTATAATAATATAATTTATATGGAGAGAGAGAGATAGAATGTACGACAAAATTATAATAATTGGATGACTCGATGGCAGATCCGACAAAAAGAAAGTGGTTGCATTTTATTCAAATAACAAATACCAGCTGCAAACACACACTAGGTATATCTCTCTATCTCTTCCTTTACCGACAAAACCCATAACGACACGAACTTTTATTTAATTCATTTCGGGCACCGAAAGAGTACGAACGAGAAAAAAAATCCATTCCATAATAGTTGTGAAGTTGCTCTTTTATCTTTTGATGTTTCGCTTTTAACCTCTTTCAAAATTTAGCCGATTTGTTTAGTAGAGTCATACCGCATTTCATTCATGCAGTAGCGGCAGTGACGGCAACAGCGGCAGCATAGCGTGATAAAGCTAATTGTTCGTACCTGGCAAACGGGTTGGAGAAAAAAAACCGAAGAGATGCAAACGACTGTTTGAGTTGTCGGTCTTGGGATTCAGATGAAATTTTACAAACTCGAATTTTCACAATTTTACGAAAGTTTTGCGGGCAAATGAAGCGCCAAACATTTTACGGGCGAATTGCGACAACCAACAAAACATAAAAGTTTTTAGATTCATTGCAGCTTAAAATTAACTACCTGCAATTTTGATAGAAAATAATTGGTTCTTTTTGGTTTTGTCTCACGCATGCACGTGCACGTGTGTTCGAGTGTGTCTTTTGCCAAATAGCGTTGTGTATCGTTTGTGAATATTTCACATTTCCTTCCGAGTTTTGAATTTGTTCGAAACATAGTTTATGGATACTGCATGAATGAGTTCATTTTTGTGGTCGTTTGTGTGTTGCCAATTTTGTCCAAAAGTGCATTCAGTTTATCATCCATTGTCCCATCCGTTCAACTTTGAAACAAATAAAATTCAAGTTATTTAACTAGGTAAACTTGAACACATCCATTTGTTGATGTTGTTTGTATGAAATCTATTTCATTTCCGACAGTTCCTTCCATCGAAAAATGGTCGGCTTTAGATAGTTCAACCAATTATTTGAAATCATTTTAACCTGAGCACAAAATTGTATCCGGCAAAACACCGTAAAATCGGCTTTCAACTAAATTTTCTTTGATTTTTAGAACATTCTAATACATTTCATGTTAGCCACTCTCTCAAAACTGGGATTACAAAAATTACACAATTCGATTGTATGCCAGATTTGATGCATTCAACGAACAGTAGAGCTTAAGTTTTTCTTTTCAGCAGATTATGTGATATTATGTGTCTTGAAATGGTCAAAACCCCCGGAATCATACATTTAGATACAAAGTAAATTCTCACGCTCATACTATACATATTATTATATAATACACTCGCATTGAGAATGTTCCATTGCATATTTAAGAGAAATTGTAAACCATACTTTGGAAGTCTTTAACATTTTAACAAGATAACGAAGTGAACGAAATGTGAGATAATCATACATTGTCAGTCTTCTGCTGTATTAAAGCCAAAATGTGTACGCTCTGTCAATGGTATTTCGGTATTTCTGTTGAAAAACATTCACCCAAACGAGAGGAAGATAAGAGAGAGCGAGAGAGAGTGAGAAAGATTGAACGAATGAGCGAATGAATGAATGAAAGAGAAAGAATAAGAGGTAAAATGGAAAATAGAAAAATCATAGAATCATCAAAAATGAAAACGGTGTAAGAAATAGAAATTCGAATGAGAATATTCGGATTGTACCATTTTGAGAAGTGAGAATGAAATGTGATTTCTTATGTTCTATGTTGGGATTTGTTCACATCAGAATTGTTCTTCATCACTTTTTGCCTAAATGCAATGAATTTTATTCGCACAAGGAATATTCTGACGCAAAACTTTAATTGCATTTTCTATTCGTTACAGGAGTTTATTTGTTGATCGTGAAAGCGGTTCAGGAGACAAGCGACATAGAGCGACAGTGTTCGTAAAACTCAAATAGAATTATATCCAATTACCGTAGTGCATATACATATCAAAATGTCTTGTTCGAAAACTGAATCGACATCAACGGATGTCATGTTAACGGATCCGGTGCCTTCGTTTGACACAATCTATCAAGATGCAATCAAAACTTTTCGTGAGACATTCGATGCGCTACCAGATGTGGCCGCGTGCGCTCCGGGTAGAGTCAATTGTATTGGTGAACACATTGATTACAATGACGGTTTTGTATTGCCAATGGTAAGACTTACATGCACTCAAATACACTTGTCTCATGTCACTCAATGTTTTGGTTCGTTGAAAGTTCTTTCTTTTGAAATGACGACGCTTTTGCTTGTTGCTAACTTATACTCTACGTATGCTATACTCTTTCAAAAACTCTCTACACACTTACTCGACGCAATTCTTTTATTTTTCTATTTTCAAGTTTGTTTGTGGACGTGTTTACTGTTACATTCAATACAAATGCAACAATGTATACGAGAAAAGTTTCTGTGTCGCCTCTATAAGAGAAACTGTACCCGAGATCGCGCTTTTTCATGATGCTGATAATCGATGTCACTTATTGGCGATGTATATACATGATTTTATGCTTTTGCGAAAATGAACAACACGCTCGCACTGTAATGATATATCCAATTTTCATTTACTCTTGTCTAACTCTCATCACACCGGATTAAATTACATGGGAAAGTTTTACCACGCAAAAACTTAAAAGAAAGACTGCACACAAAAAGCACCACACCAAACGAATGTGCTGTCGATGTGGTTATTCGCTAAACTGCACACAAATTTTGTCACTTCGTGGTAGTTTTGCTTTTTTTTATATATATTCTTCTAGACTGTTAGACTTGATAAATATTTAGTGCTTGTGTGCAAACGTTGATACGAAAGAAAAACAATGGGAACTGCGTGCACTTCAGAAGAGCACTTCAGATGGATGTCATATCCAATTCAATTTGCAAAGTTCTTATTTTATATTCCGTGCACATATAGTGATGACATTTTTTCCACAAAATATTCGCAAAAATTCAGCATATAAATGAGTTACATTCAACAAGGGCACCATTAGCTCAGCGCACCAATCATTTTATTCATCCATAAATTTTACTCAAATATCAAGCAAGTGTGCTGTAACAACCAACTGAAAATTGTCTAATGGCTCTGTAGTTGTACTACTTCGAACCAGAACATTTTTAGCATGTACTACTTTGAGATAGAATTTCAATCGTTTCCATTTGAAAAAGGCACTTCCAATGGTTACGATTATTGTGGGAAAGCGCAACAAAACGAAATCCACGGCAAATATTGTTACCTGCTGCAACGGTGCCGATCAACCAACAAATATTTCCATTGATTTGAACAGTTTAACGGTCGGAGTACCAAAGTAAGTTTTTTTCTTTTTCAATATTCTCGCTGTCCCTCTTTCACCCCCTCCCTTTCTTTCTCGCTCTTGGAAATATTTTTAATTAGTTTTAATTGCAACATTACAATCCATGTTTCATTACTACTTTCAACCATTGATGATGGTAGTGTTGACGGTGGATTGTGCTATAGCACGTATACGGAGTGAGATGTTAAAAATCCATGTTCGAATCTCTATTATTCAGAGAACATGCTGCATTATTGCAGAATTGCACAGCACTTTCTCTTTCTCTCTCCCTCTCCCTCTCCCTCTCCCTATTTCTATTTCTCTATGTCGCTATCTCTCTTTCGCTGTCGATGAAAATCATTATGAGAAAATTACATTAAACTCAACTAATGAAATCGATTCATATGAAAAATCGCTGTTTTAAAATGGTGAATTGAATAGTTTGACGTTCGATCTTGGCATGTTCCTATGAATTATAGGCTATAATATTCTTGTAGCATATGAACCGTCTTCATTGAACACCAATGAAAATGTTCATTTGTTTTTTTAACTTTGAATTTTTGAACAAAAATTTAATTAATTTTCACACAAAGCCACACATGGTTCAAAAATTATTATGCCTGTTTCCCTTTTGTTTATTTCAAACGAATCATTTTGAAAAGCACTTCAATCTTTATCACTTGACGAAGTGTTTTACTCTAGACGCCACTTCATGGTTACAATAAAAATATTTATGAGTGCAAAATAAACAAGCCAAACCGATTGCGCTTTACAATCGACGAAAGGAAACCACTGCAAATTTGTTACCTACATTATGAAACCAAAATGAAAGTACTCAATAAATCTGTTCATACATACAAACGAAAGCAAAACGAATTATACGATTGATGTTACATTATCATAGCAAACAAATTGCTTACAAAGTTTTGCAAGAAAAAAAAAACAAATCTCACGTGTAAGAAAAAAAGGAATCGATCGCATTTTTATGCTAAAGTATTTTTCAAAGAGTAAATCTAGTTGGCCCAAGTTATGAGAACAAAAGACAACAAAGGCACAAAAAGCGTACAAATACATAATCGTTCTTTATTTAATTCACTGTTGTAAATAAAATCAAAACTCCTCTATTGAGACAGAAAAAAAAGTAGAAGAACAGACCGGCACCCGAGCAACCATTAAATATATATTGCAAGTGGATCAATTCGATAAAATTGCACAAAGTTTAGCAAAATGCAATGCAGAAAAAAAGAAACCACAACCACATAAAATGCAGCAAAAGAACAAGAAGCAACAAGGAGTGTACATGTACAATGAAGGATATTGTTTGCTTACCAGAAGATGCAATTTTAAATTCAGTTTTTATCAAGAAAGAAAAAAGAAACTGTAGGCAACGCACAAAATAGATTGGACAGAAAATGAAACAATAGTCAACAACGGTCCATTATTTATTGTGTCAGGTCTTTTTGTTTGTGCTCATCTCATGCACACTAAGAAAGAGAGAGAGAAAGAGAAAAATGACTTTCGAGTTCATGAAACACTTTTCTTGTTCTTCATGCCAAATAGCAAAGTTTTGTTTTGTTGCTGATGTTGCCATCACCAACCACAACCACCGGTGGGCACAAATCTTCTAAAAATAAGACGAAAAAAAAACTACCCTCTTAAAAAACCAGCCGAATTGCTGTCGTAATAACCATTTTTCGGTTTGCGCACATGCCCAAACAAAACACTGCTTTTTACTTGATGCTGCTATAATAAAAATAGCACATATTATTGCTCTATAAATGTGTAATGCAGTATGTTGTTATTTGTTTGTTTGCTTACTTGTTCTTGTCTAGAGTTTTTGGCATTTTGTTGAACTGCATGAAAGAATGAGTTTTATATCGCTTTTTGACATTCAAATTATGGTGCAAGATAAGGAGAATGTAAACAAGCACAATTCATTTACTGTTCAACTTTTGAAGAAAAAAAGAACTGTTTTTACTATCCAACTTTTTTTCCCTGTCAATGTTTAACCAAAATTCAACTTTATGTTTTAAACTTATTTTGATTACAATAGCTGTTCATTTGAAAATGAACCGAAGTAAAATTGCGGTTTATGTTTTACCTCATCAGCTGTGACATAGAGCCTATGACAGAGAATTGATGCAGTAACGCGCCTTTTTGTAACAACCAATTTACTTTCCCAATGAAGTCATGCGTGTGACGACCAAAAATAAAATTGATTTTGTAATTTAAATCTGATTTATATTCTATTAAAAATTATAAACGCCTTGTGTGGATTGTTTTCTCGATTAAAATCAGACCAGCAAAAAGTGATTTTTTTTTGTTATTCATTCAAAGGGCGATGCTGTGTGCGCCAGCTCAAAATGCCTTCTGAAAGATTAATTATAAAATGTAATTTATGTTGTGGAAAACTTTTGTGGTTCGAAAAGCGGTTTTGAATGAGCCAATTTTTCACAAAACTTTTGGCCAACCTATTCAACGCCAAGTGCTTATCTCTATCTATGTCTCTTTTGCTCACTCTTTTTGACCCCAAAAAAAAAGCCGAAAATGACATGGTTGCACGTAATAATTAACACAGATATCGCATACACTTTTGGGGCGAATTTGGTCCGACACACATTGGGCCACAATTTATGCACATATAAATTATTCCCGATGGACACAAGCGCATAATACGAAACATATTAATTTTAATCAAGTCGAAAAATGTTCGCGCACATGATCCATTCGACCAAAAGTGTTATTAAGCTAACGCCCAAAAGTCACATAAAACGTACGAGCACATATTATGTACATGTGTGAGAAACAGACAGACACCGAAGGAGACACAGCAAGCATGTGAGCGAGAGACGGTTAAATATATAATTTATTTTGGCTGAATATATGCGAAAGACTTTTAGCAACCGTTAAAGCGTTCAATTTTATAGCTGCGTTAATAGTTGGTTGATGTGCAATTTTCTCGTTACAAAACGATTCGCAAATAATAACTGGAACGACTAATGTTAACATGGACAATTCAATGGTGGCCATCATATACATCTAAATTAAAATAGTTTGAAACCATTTTGCCATTTCGAAATGGGTGTTGTGCACACCAAAAAGCCGCTAATTTATTTTCTTGGCTCCATTTTGATCCATCAAACGATTATAAAATTGTTTGTCGCATGGAATGTTTGGCGAATGAAAATGATTGTAATACGTCGCTGGGGGTGCTCTTTCACGCGACATTGTCCAGTTTTATCGATAGAATATAAAACTGAAATGATGAAGCACGTATCGTCTGGTAAACCGACATCGAAATTTATCCAAATGGGAAATGTTTTGCGATAAATCGAAAAGAAAACGAATCTCACGAACTAAAACGGAAAGAAATGTCTTATGATAATGTAGCTGTGATAGTGGCAAAGAAAATGTACAGCAAGAGAAAACCGTCGAGAAAAAGTCGAAGTGAAAAAAAATGTATGGAAAATCCGTACAAATCTAATAGATTGTATATATTTTTACGGTGTCTTGCCTACATTAAAAATTGATATAAACAGAAAGGGCAAGTGGCAGCGTTCCATTTGTGAATGCGTTTCGTTTCAGATGTAGCTTGGTATGTCGTTGTTGTCGTTGCTGTTGTCATTTTTACCGAGTATACCATGTACGTGACTGGAAAGGAGAATTCGACATTGATGATGTGATGCGCTCTATCGCACTTATCTTTTGAACATTTCCAAAGTTTTGAAGGAGAGAGAGAGAGAGAGATTTATTCATTCGTGTCTTTTCCTTTTTATTTGTGAATTGTGATGGCCATTTTTAAGTTCATTTTACATACTATATTTGATGTTCATCCTTCTTCTCCTATCTCTTCACCGTCATGCATTGTCTAAATATCTTTGCGAAACATTCTGCATCATCTCACATTCATCATTGTCGATTCACATATATTTCATTCCCATACTTAATTTTGTCGCTGCAAAATACACTTAAATCACGTCACCCGGCTCTCGTACACACACATATTTATCAAACTTGTTTATCGCACCGGACTTTTGGTGACAACATCTAACACACTTCCAACCCCTCTTTCTGAAAGCTTTGTCAACGTAGCATTCATATTTATTTTAAACTGATTTCCTTCGGGGCTTAAATTGAATTGAGATTATAAATCGAAACTCGAACGTTTGATGAGATGTGACGAATTGATGGTGTGCTCTCTTTTGGATCATATTGAATTTAATGACTGAATTATTAATTCGATGTGTGCGTTTGTTCCCACTTTCAACATGTTTACATTGCTCCCACTTTCCGTTAATCACAATGACGCTCTTTATAAAACGTATTATAGTATTTTTGAGAGATTTTCGCTCAAAAAAATTACCTGTATTTCGCTTGAGCAATTTGTTAGGATGACCACATAGTTGAACTTCATGAACGTTTACAGAAAAACACATTTTGTGAACTGACCAATAAAATCTGAACGAAGTGGACACACTAAGCAAGATAATGAAAACAAAAAAACCGAAGAGAACCTCAAACAAAGTTGTTGCAAAACTTTTGAATGGATATTCGAAAAAATGAACGAACGACCAACATTTTCCATTGTGTGACATTTACAGGTGAACTGCTTTGTCGCAAAATTTCTCGTAATCTGTGTGTTCCATATTAAACTCCTACTTCTCCATTGCAATGCCATTGCTTTGTTGGATACACTTACACATATATATACACATATAATGCGCGGTTTCGGTTATACATATTTGAACTGTGGCTATTGTGGTTTACCCACCTTGTGTTATCTAATTTAATAATAGGTTCCGGTTGCGCTCTCAACAGACGAGAGATGTTCTCCGTACACTCAACACCACTTATATGTATATCGTAAAATGACAGGAATGCAAAAGGTCTGAGGGAATTTCTAATGGGTAGAAATATGCATGAGTTCAGTCTTTTGGCACAGAAAAGCAGATAAAATTTCCGAGACCGGAAGTTTTAGCAAAATGTATATGTAGGTTGTATGTTGAGAAGTTTGCAAAAGGAAGCAAGAGGCAGACATATGAAAAAGGAGACACACAGAGAGAGTGATGGAGTAAGAGAGTAAAATCAACAACAAAAAGTGCAATGAACCAAAAGCATAGCATTTTTCATCAGACATTAGCGAAAAAAGTGCCATGCATGCAGGCTTACGTCAAACACAACGTACATTACTCACCAGTAAACCCACCAGTAAACCTTGGAATATGTGACACTCCAATTTTCAATTTTTTTTTTATGGAAACGGTAGAGGGGCCAAAAATCAAATTGAAGCATTTTTCTTCAACTTCATATTTGGGGCAAGGAACATATTTTGCCCTTTAAGGGATTAAAATCGCTTTGACAACTTGAGGTTATCCGTTGGGAGCATTTTTACCCTCTCTCCACGAGGATTCAGTAGGGTTGGTACGTTGACAAAAGTTGTTTGTCTCATTGTCAGCTACAACTTTGCCGAAGACTGCAATCCATTATTTCCATTCGTTTACGGCGTAGAGCATTATTCCCAATTCAGGGGAGGCATGAACATTGAACACGCAAAACGCCAAGGTTTACTGATCAGTGCATAATTACAAGTATGTCTATCTAAATATATATTAAATATATCGCATCAGCAACGAAAATGTGCTGATCCAGATGAGCCGACGATTATCGTCGGCTGAGCAACTTGAACTTTTTCAAAATAGCAGATATTTACACGACATACGCTTTTCATTAATCTGCAAAACGTTGCATAATAATTTCAAGATGTGACATCTTTTTTTCCACTCATTTCCTAGCTCGTTTCTCTTTTCTCTCATTTTTATGTTTGTTTCTTCGTAACACAAAAAAAAGTGCTGAAGTTTTCGAGTGTGAACATTCACACTTCGTCACAATGAACAATGTAAATTGTGCTAACGAAGAACGTTTACAATCCAAAGATTGGCGGTGAATTTTAGATGTCAGAATTTGAAAAAGGGTCTAATCATTCGGATGGTTTGAAATTTTTCGGAAAATATTTTTTTACCTTCCATCAAAAACCTTTACAATTGTTTCAGAATTAAGTTCTTTCGAAAGAATTTGGCTTTCCATGATGAAAGTATTTGCGTATTTGAACAATGAAAAAATACAAGAAAATTCTCAACGATTCTACACATTGGAATTTTATAATTAGTTCAAACAGCAATTAATATTAATGCCAACATTCCATTCACGACGATAAAAGAAACTGAAATTGTTGGGCTTTTTCTGGTTCTATATTTATTTTGCAATTAGAATTGAAAACATCAAGAAACGAAAAAATTGCTATTTATCAATACGTAAATTCAAATATTTTGAATTCTTGAACTTTTAAACTTTCGATTGTAACAGTTCGTTTGGTACTCAAGCAAAGACAACAACATCAAAAGCCCAAGAAAATACTTAAATTTCAAGTGTTGAACGTCTATTGGTAATAATGTCCCTTTTTTCTTCAAATTTAAACGTTATTTTGAGGGAAAAAAATAGACATAAGAAACATGACTAACAAACAAACAAGTGACGAAGAAAAAAGTGAAATGTACAATTGAAAGAATGTGTATTCATGGTCAAAACAATGGTATCTAACAAGTTTACAAACTGTCTCAAACCGCAAACAAAATCAAACGTGAAATACAATGGCATTTGTTTCCTGCAGAAAACTTCAACGCTCGACAAAGAACGACTTTTTTTCCCAAAGAGTTTACCACATTGACGTCAGTATTATTTAAAACAATGTATATTCATTCACTGAATCTCAGCATCGACCCAAAAGTAATTTCATTTAATTATCATCCGAATGCAAGTGTATTCATGGGTTTAATTGTAAAGATTTGCGAAGAATACGGATCTATTTTAAACAACTGTGTTTTATGGCATTCTTAGCACATGTACAACGAAATAGTACTCCGAGATTTAGTCACAAACTTTTCCAGTGACACAGATTGACTTTGGTTTTTGTCAAAATTCGAACGTAACCATTTCTATCATCTGATAAAAGGTAAAACATGGTTTTGATTCAGTAAAAGTCTGATCAACATTCGGTTGTCACTCTATAAGTTGATTTAATTCGGAAAAGTTGAATATGGGTTACCCTCTAATTCATTCATGGCACTTTCAATTGAGATCATTCATCAGACGGAAAATACAATGAACCGATTTGATGGTTCGCTTACTCATTAGAACTGTACAATTAGACTTTTGTGTACTTAGGAAAAAGGGTGTGCGTTTTTTTTTTCAAATTCATCATGACATATCCGATATATTCGTTGCAAATGAAACTCATTGTACAATGACGCTGTTTGTGCCTTGATTTACAAAACAGAAAGGTACTCATGTGTGAAATACAGTGACCACTTCAAAGAATGCAAAACAACACACAGAAAGGAATTGGAAATGAATTTACAGATTGAGTTACCAATATCAAAAGGTAGAAACATTAAAAAACTTTCGCACAATGTCATTGTCTGTGTAATTTGGTTGAGTCTTTTTCATCACGTACATTGGATGCTGGTTCAATGTTGGTTCAAATCTGTTAAAAGACATGGCTATAAAAACATTGTTGTTCAATTGATTCAATGGAGATTTTTGTTTGCAGTTTTGATTTGATTCTGGGCACATTGATCACATTCAAGTTGCTCTATGTGTTTGTCAGCATAAATGAAATTCGTTGTATTGAGTCGAAGTCACTTTGTAGAAGTGACATAGTGTAAAAACAACAAAGCATTTAATTAGTGAAATGCATGAAGTTTGGCATCGAATAAACGTGAAAACCGAATGAATCTGCTTTTAATTTGGATTATAATCAAGACCATATTTTGTCTAAATGAAATGCAGAAAGTATTTGTGATAAACCAAAATAGGTGTGCAACAGAGTCACATGAATTTCAAAAGGCTTTAATTACCATTTGAATTGGTTTCGATGTTGCTTTTAAACTCCTTTACCTTCAGGTTCCAAGAATATACACTTGTTTAAGAAAATAAGAGATTCTCGAATCGTGCCTGTTTTGTTCATTTCCGAATTACTTCTTTTTAGCTTGAGTCTCTCAAAACAACCCTTTTTTTAATATTACTCGGACCGACCCAAGAGTTTTGGTATTTGACAAAAACGCACGATTTCATTTCTTGCGATAAAAAATCGCATAGCAGAAGAACGCACTTTAATCTAAATCGAATTTACGAACGAATAAACCAAACTGTATTTTTTATGACACGATTTTTTTCTAAAACAAAAATCCGCCTCTCTTTTTGCAAAAACAAATTTTCGTGAAAGTTGATTTAAAAAGGAGTTTACTTGCATGAATTGGGATATTATTTATGAATTGAAAGAAATTGTTGTGAAAGTCTCATTGAGAATTTTAATCCAAATATGTGATTGTGTGTCACTTCTCTAACGCAAAAATGATGACTTTGGCACATATGTTATTTGCATATAAGTTTCATCATATTAATTATTACTTCATTTTATAAATATATATGGTGGTTATTCGTATTTTTCGAATTAGATCCAGTACAATGCGAACAAATAGTGTGACGAAGCTTTTAATGTGTCGATTCCATTGAGAATTCTTTAATTAGAAATTTGCTATGAGCCATATAAATGTGAAATGTTGTGTTGAAAAATGAGCTTCAACATTTCTTTATGAAATAATTACCAAAAGTTTAACAATACTAAATCAAAAACAAAGATATAATTGAGATACTACTTGCCTATAAACAAAGTATTATTTATCCAAAAAATTTGTAACAGGCGTAACTTAGAATTTGTATTGTTTGATTAGAATTTGTAAGTTTTCCAACTTAATTATATATCACAATAAGTTTGTTGTTTATTATTCTCGGGTTTTCTTGAGAAAATATCATTTTACAAGTTTTGTTTGCCTGATGTGGTTTACAAATTACATATTCCGACTTTGCATGGCGAAAATGAAGACTGATGTTTTGAAACCTTTCTAGTATATCATATACTGTATATTTTTATATTTAATTTCCAAAGATTTACATTTGTCTTTTTGGCGATTCATAGAATTCGGCACAAACTGCCTCTGAATATCAATTAATCGAGATGGATTTCAATATATTTGTATATGTTTCATTAATGTCACAAGAATGAAAATGGATTGAATGTTTTTCCAAGATAATAATAGAAAGTATAATACAACAACCACAATAAGCACGTTAACAAAAAATCTATAGTGGAGTTGGAAGAAATTCTCTGTCTCCAAATGTATTGGAAAATTTTCTCCTTTCACTGAAATAAATGTTTCATAAACCATACGAATATGCCGAACGAACGATACTATTCAATTGAAATCAGCTTAGCGTTTCATTAGCAAAGAGTTTTTGTATTGTTTTATTCATCATCGAATGTCATTTTCGAAGACTGTTCAATTTTTCATTTAGCCCATACTCTATAATTTCAATTAAAATTACAGGATATTACGTTTAGTACTAAATTCGATTAAAGTACTCACAATTAGTGTGATCAAGTTTTATTTGAAATTCCAAAATTCAACGTATTTTTAAATTGTTTTCATTTTGTTTTTTTTCTTTGTTGTAGATGGGCGAACTATGTAAAAGGTGTATTGAAATGTTTTGGTAAACAATTGCCAGGATTCGATGCGGTCATTATGACAAATGTTCCAATAGGGGGTAAGAAAAAAGTTTGTTTTAGTTTTTTTTTATTATTATCGGTCGCTTTTTTTCATTTAGGCGGACTATCAAGCAGCGCAGCACTCGAAGTGGCCACATTAATGTTCATTCAATCTTTAACCGATGCCGATGGTAATAAAAACTCTGACAACATCAAATCCTTAACGTAAGTTCAATATTTATGACATCAAATATAAAACACCCACACGCTCTGCTGCAAATCAAAATGACCATCAAATAAGCAAAAACGATTTCTGTCCAGTAAAATACTGTACCACATTTCTATAATAGAAACTGGCGACTCGAATTTATTTACCTAATATTTCATTTGAATGGCTCATTCAACAGACCCCAAATTGTATATCAAAGTTCACCATCGGTAGACAAAAGCCAAACTCGTTGTTTCATAAATCATTTTTTATTACCAGTTTTCAAGAAAAAAAAATAACTATATATATTTCACAACTTCATTTCGAACGTGTACGATGTGTCCCTTTGTGCTATCGAAACTATCGTACATTTCAATTTAATGAAGGTTATAGTCGTGTCTGCAATCCTTAATTACTTGTTGCTGGTGTCGTTTTGAATTTTATTAACTTTTTCATTAAATGCACACAGGCAAAAACAACAGGCGCTATTGTGCCAAAAAGCTGAACACGAATTTGCCGGCATGCCCTGCGGCATAATGGATCAATTGATTTCGGTAATGGGAAAACGCGACCATGCATTGCTTATCGATTGCCAGTAAGTATACGCCATTTCTTGTTTTGCTTTTTAAATGACTTTTGCCACGTATTGAATAAACATTGCAAACTCGAAAACCTCAAAATTCATTCATTCGCTTATATTTTTGTTGATTGCGATTCTCAATTTGATATTGTACAATCGCAGAACATTGGACACGATCCAGATACCCTTTGAGTTGGGAGATGATTTGGCCGTTTTAATCTGCAATTCAAACGTACGCCATGAGCTATCGCACAGTGAATATCCAACAAGACGAAAACAATGTGCAGAAGCGCTTGAACTCATGCGTTTAAACAGTTACAAAGATGCAACTATTAAAAGCTTAGATGGTAAGTACGAAATATAAACAAAAACAAAAAAGAAAGTCTTATGTGTATGCCACATTCGTTGCATTACATGGCATCACAAAAATGAATGTGTACGAGCATGTGTGTGTGTGTGTTTGCACCAGTAAATCCCGTTCCCGAAAAATGAAAACAAAAACAAACTCTCATTCAAAAGGAGTAAATTGAATGTATAACGGAGAGAATGCGGTTCCATATTCGCCGGCATTTCATATGATGTAAATTACGGATTTTGTCTAATTTAGATAAGACACAAATTAATTGACGAGAAATGAGACTTTAATTCAGTTTCAGCAAATTGCTTAATTGATGACACGATAAATCCTTTTTCACTGCTTTTGATAAACTCAAGATTATGTATTTGTATGTGTTTTATATTTATAATCTGCTACAAATTAGCAATGAAAGGAATGAAAACTCATTCTTAATGTGCGCGCTTTTTTATACATTTCGTACGAAACGAACAAAAATGAGAATAAACACTGCTGCACTCATTCAAAATAATTCTTTCGATGTCGAAATATCTTTCAAAAGAATTCTACCGCGATGTGAATTTTCAGATTAAAACTATAAGAATGACGATGTTTCGAAAGGCTTTGGCATATCATCATATTGGATTAAACACATTGAAAAATTTCGTCAGCATTTTGCATGGCCAAGACATTCTCTTGATATCCATCGGACGACTATGGAAACAAAATTTAGTTATAGCCAGACTTCATACGTGAATTAGTCATGAGAGTGTACAAGAGTTTGATGAGTCAGACACTTTGAAAAGATAGAATCAAATAGTGTCTATTTTCCCGTAACACGCAAACTTGCATGCTTTTCTATGTAAACTTTTGAACGATTTGAAGTAAATGACTAACACAAACAAAGTGAGTACAAAAATATTTGATGTGACTACACTTTGATGTGATGCGCTTACATTAACATTAAATTGTATACATGACCATACCAAAACAAAATTCTCAAGCATTTTCACACAAACCGTTTGCTACTTTACACAGCACTCAATTTGCTGGAAAGTGCAACAAAACATTATCACGTAAAGAACAAAGAAATAAGCGATTTTATGAATAGAATTGCCACTTTTCTACGAACCGACCACACTCACTGGAGAAAGTCAATTTCAGATTATAATGGTGAGTTGGTTTGGGATTGTTGCCATTTCTGTTAAATTGTGTCACGTTAAATACCAGAGAGTCAAATATTTGATGGCTTTCATTTCCGTATAATGGCCGGGAGTAGTTAAAATTTTACAGCTAGTATAGTGTTTTCCAGTGAATGAACTGTACAATTTTCTTTGAAAACATATTAAAATGCTCATGTTTTATTTTTGCATCAATGTTCATATCTAAGCGCGCGTTGCGCCAGAATAGTCCATGTGTCGTTTGACAATAAATGTAAAATTGTTTCATTTAAAAACAAAAAACTTACACTTTTGTGTTAATGCACGAAGAAAATCATTTTCCAAGCACTTTAGCTTACTGAATAATAAATTCAATGGCAAGATTAAAACATAAATCCTTAAGCTTCATGCTTATTTATGTGGATTTTTTTTTGTTGCATATTGTCATAATACCTTCTCTTTTTCTATCTCTCTGACAACAGAATCATTTATAATGCATAGTAATCGCGGTTTTCATGTTTGTAAAATGTCGCATTTCACGGTGACGGTCTCCGAACAATTAGACCAATTACGAATATTTTTGTAAATTTATGGGATTGAAAAGTGTGCATTTTTCATATCCGATTCTCTTCATTTACAAACGGACACCAGCAACAACAATTCAAACTACGCAAAAAGATACGTTGCTTGAATGTGGGGTTCCGTGGAAAACAATGAAATCAAAAATTCACCATGGTTTCAAATTAACAGATTATTCAGCTACTTTTTTTCGTCTGGAAAAATCACTCGAATTCTCCACGGGAATCTGTAAACAATTCACATTCCGATTTCAAACGTTTTATTCAACTTACAGATACCTTGAGCTTCACTCCATGCGCATTAATTTTTATCCTTAGTTCGTGTGATTATTTGTCCACAGTTGTTGTTCAAAGCTTGGGGAAGGGGCTCGTCAGACTTTTTCCGCTTACTTTGCATTTGCTAAACAGATATAATGAAACCGGAACATTTTTGAAGAGTACACCTCTTGCACAACATCCTTCGCCTTTTACCAAACGATTTTACGTTCACGCATTTAGAGTACCGCAAAACTAACGACTGTTTCCTTCATTGCGCGGTTCTATATAGTGACTGTTGTGCACGACAAGAGGAAGGAAACATTCTAAAATGATGAATCTTTAATATTCCAAATGAGTTTCATTCGGTGAATTGAAATTCGCCCTTTTTTCAAATGGCGTATATCGAATATGCGGAGTGAATTGCTTTAGAATTTTGCTCACGCAACAAATAATTACCAAAACACTATTAAGTGTATTCAATCATTTGTAAAGAGTTGGATTCCTTTCGAGTACGAAACTGGTTGAAAAATTGCGCGTACATTGTATTCAAATACAAAAATGATGTTAATTTAGTTAAATTTGAAGTCATTTGTCGAATTAACACTTACTCATAAGCAATCGAAAATTCATAAATTTATTTAAAATAAATGCTCAACAATCGTATTGTTTGTTGAAAAGTGTATGCAGTTAAACGAACAATTTTGCATGGTAATTCAAATAAATAATCAATAAATATTCAATTGAGATGAAAAACAATTTACCACATTTGCATACGTAACAATGAAAATAGAGCGGTTGCACACCGAATAATTTTAAGCGGTCACCCACCATACGTAAAAAAAAAACAAAAACCATTAGAATGCTTTTAGATTAATTTTCATCCGATCGATTTAATGAGATCATGGAGAGAGCAGACTACCGAATAGAAATTACATATTATTTGCATTCGACGTATGTATACATTAGAACAACCCATAAATTCAATTATTGATGAGCATCTAGCGCCAATCAAAATCCTATCAACAAAGTATGAATAAACTGGTATATTAAATGAATATTGTACGAATTATTTTCAAACAAAAATTAACAAAACATAAACCACACACCAGATCACCATACACAAATTCATATCGCAATATTTTCATTTCAAAATGATAAATGCAAAACAAGCCATTTATTTATTCATCCATTTAACCAAATTTGTTCCGTTTAATTTGAATCGTTGCACTAAATTCCGTTCGCCATGTATTATCGAATTTAATATTCTGTCGATGCTTATGGTCACTTTGTTTGATGTGCCATGCAGCATATGTTTTTGCATGTAAAAGCAATGAGAATCTCATTCTGTTTTTTGCTGATCAAATTCAATACAAGCCACACACACACACACTTATCCACACTTTTACCGCCTTCAATTTCATTCATGCATATTGTTGATACGTGCACCTATCGATACATACTACCATTTGTAATTTTATTCTGTAAACCATCCAAAATTGAATTTAATTTGTAATGTACGTATTGCATTTAATTCGAACGTTTTTTCCCCCATTAAATACTAATTTTCATTTGTTATTCTACGCAACTTAGATGTGGCATGGTGAATTGTGTTTTAATTCGTTATTCATGAGTTCCGATTCATGAATGTTTGGAAACAATTTTCGAATGTAGTCATTTAAAGAACATTTTAATTGAATAAGTATTCATTGAATACGTGCAGTGATAACCGTTTGACTGAACCGCGAATTTTTGTCGAGTCGATAGTCTTCGAGTCAAGTTTCACTTAAATTCACTTTTATTTCGCACAGGAATCATTTCCAAAATGCTGTCAATCACATTCAATTGAGTTAGTTCGCGATATAAATTAGTGTTGAGGATGACCAGATAAAAAATAAAACGTTTGAGTTCATTCGATTGACCGTCGGCACGGATTACACTTAAAATAAAATCCACAATTTGACGGGCGAGCCCAATGGCATATTTTCAATTAGACACGCTAATTAAAGCAAATAAGCATGTATGCTCAAATTAGCGTCACAAATTATGATTCATATGTTTGAGCTCAGCTTAAATTTAATCCATGCCCACCGACACACCTATATATTGTGTACGTGGCATTAATGCTCAATTGTCTGTGTATGTGCTTGTGCAAGGTATGGTGTTAGTTGCAATTAGTGATTTAAATTCAGTTTTAGACCGTCGCGTGATTAGTAATCAGATTCAGATTACATACATTGGTTTATGCCAAATTAACATCAAATAATTCGATTGCATCGCTCACAAATCACATTTCAATTTATTTGACATCCAGCTAATGGTTTTGTTGAGCGAACCAATTGCAGATTTTCAATAATTCCCTTCAAACGAACAATTTGATTATTATGCCAGCGAAACGCGATTTCTGTTTCTGACATTTTATTCGATGTGTCTATTGTAGCAAACATTCGATTTGTTTCATACTATTCCGAAATGAAAATCAATGAGAATTTAATTTGAATTATTTTTGTTTCGATTTGAAAAATAAAAACGTTGAAAAATGCACAATTTCTCCCTTTTTTAGCTTTGAAGGGAACCGATGGAGTCTTGATCAAACGAGCACGTCATGTTATAACGGAAATTCAACGAACACGTGAAGCTGCTGATGCATTACGGAAACAAGAGTTCAAAGAGGTTCGTAAAGTAGTGATATTTTTCATTTTAAAATGTTTATCATAAATAGCAAAAAATCAATACCAATGCCCGAAAATCATTTGCAATAAATTCGATAAATTCTTGTTCCAAGATTTGAAAACATGATCCAATATCAAATCTCGTAAATATTGGCTTGGAATTTAATATCGATGTTAATTTTGCTATTTATTGGCTCAATTTTATGAAATGAAAATTTATTTATATCATAAATCAAATCATTCATCAATGAATATCGTTTGTGACTGAAACCGCTTATTTCATTCCAATTTCACGAAATTGATTTAGTATTCGATATTTTCAGATGGGTCGATTAATGTATGAATCGCATAAATCACTGCGAGATGATTTCGAAGTATCGTGCAATGAGCTTGACATACTAGTTGAAGCGGCAATTAGTTGTTCTAGTGTGTTAGGGACACGAATGACCGGCGGTGGATTTGGCGGCTGCACAATTACATTGCTTCGCAAAAATGATATAAATAATGTGATAACGCACATCAAAACGATTTATACTGCAAATGGCACAAATGGACGCACAGCCAGTTTCTATGTTGTAGAGCCGGCTGATGGTGCCCGCCGTGTGCTCTAAATTTGTAGAATGCAAATGCTGCCGAAATATAAACAAACATTCGTTTTTAGCGCGAAACATTTATTTTAACGATGATAATGTTGATTATGTAATTCGACAATATCCGTTTTTTTCGTGCATTTATTTCACTCGGTTCTCAAGCTCTAATTTCGATTACATCATATAATTGCAGATTGTTAAAATGGAACAAAGTAATAAATAAAAAGCAGACAGAAAAACAGTTGATGAACTTCTTATTTGGTTTTTTGTACGAAAAAAAGCTTTTATGAAAATTAAATGTCACTTTCTCGCACATTTTTTTTAGCAATATCAATGAATTTTAAGAAAAATATAAAATTTGAAAAAAAAACTTCCAGAATAGTTGTAACAGTGTGACAGTTACACTGAAATTTGTAGCTCATTAAGTTAGTTTTTATGGATATAATTCCAACTAAACATACTTCCAGTGATGAAAAGAACTAAAAAAAAAATTAAAAATGGCTTTTTCTTTCAAAGTAATTGCAATCATTTGAAGCGAACCTTTTATGAATCAGCATAATGTTGTTCGCATGACAAGCACATGAAAAATTCATTCTGGTTCGTTGCTCTCTTATGTTTATCATCTTCATCATTTCGGTGAGCGCATTCATTTTTCAGGTCAAACCACGAGATGGACAGAGATAAATATGAAGCAAAAGCAATGAGAATCCAGCGACTGCCTGGCAAAAATGGGGAACATCAAATGAAACGAGAAAGCTTTTAGTTTTAGATTATTATTTGGTTTTCTTTCGTTTTCATCATTTTACATTGGATATATCCCATAAACAGGAGCATGTCCAACAGCTAACAATGAACATAAACAATTGTCGACCACTTTTTTCTCTTTCTTTAGCCAAAAAGTATGTTACACCATCTCTATGCTTTATCCATCTCAGCTTTCTTACTACCATTCTATTGCTCACTTTCTCTGTTTTATTCGTACAGCTGCGTTTTGGCACATTGTTTTTGCTGTTAGTGCATGTGTGCGGTGTATAGTATTGCTGACTGTTGGGTTTTATAAATCATTTTTATGACTCCCAGCAGTAATTTAGAGAAAATTATATTTTAAGTATGAAAGCGCTTTTTTGAAAGTATTTTTCTCCGTTTTCTTACTCGATTTGGGCCACACGCAATTATGATGTACGTACATTCTATATCGCATTGCAGACAGTACTACTGAGTATATGCATCTTGGTAGAACAGTGACTGAATACCAGCAGAATAGATTTGTTATTATTATTTTACACGAACAAGGCAACAATTACAAAAGTACTACATGGTTGTATAAACATAAATAAAGAAAGAAACATAATATGAATTAAAGGTTTAAACAAGTATTTTTTTTTGGATTGGAACCAATTTTTATTAAACAGTGGTTAATCCCCCTGTGATTTAAATTATTCGATTTTGCTAGGTTTTTCGAAATTGAGAAAAAATATTCTGATTTGAGAAGGAAACAAATTTGAAATCACTTCCAATCCCTATGAAATTTTGCTCACACATATGTTTTGATAGATGATGTTCTTCCGTACATAATTATTATTACTTATTACTGCAAATATACACACTTCATGATTAATTGGCTGGTTTTTTTATCGACCTCGTCATGTTGATCAATGATTTGTTTACGACTATAATCATGTTTTTCTAGATTTCGAATCTGTTAATTATCGATGATAATTACGTGTTTGATAATCAATCACTTGTCTAATTAGGACTTTTTTTCGCACTTTTGTTAAACGATGTTAGTCGATTTCTCTTTTTCTATCATTCTCTTTTCATATGACGAAATGGTATTTCATCACACTACATGTAGTAATATGTATGTAATATGCATATTTCGAATTAGTACATTTAGTGGATCAAGTAAAACAATATATTCATAAAATTATTGCAATTCTTCAAATAATTTAAATTGGTGTCGAATTGTTATTTTAAAAATCAATAATAAATTAATAATAATAATAATAGTTAATATCAACTAATAATTATATTGGCGAGTCGGTATTCACGAAATATCATAAAAATGAATCATTTGGCTCAACATTTCGCATAATATAAGGTTTGCATATAATCTAAATTTCATATAAAATCAACCACTGCTACCATTCTGAACAATGTCACATTTAATTGGAGAATACTTCAAAATACTTATACAACAACACACGCACAAAGAGTATCTTTTGTCGTCACAACGCAACACCGAATGTTTTTACGCACGAAATTCCATATTGTTCAATATTACCATAAATGTTTCTGATGCGAATAAAGCCAAATGAGTACCTACAATTACAGAGATCGATCGACTGTTAAATTGACATTTAAGACAGAGCAAAAATACAACGCACTTCAATAAAACCAGTAAGCCACGTAATTTTTTATATTATGTCTAAAAATCTATTTTGAAATGCACTTTTTGCAAACATGTTAATGGCAATGGACGCTTGCCAATTATTCAGAGGGGGGAATCAAGCGATTGTGTACAAGTGCATTTTTTTTTATTTGATAAAGAGCAAGTTACAAAAAAACATAAATTTTAATTGCTTTTGCTCCACCATTTTAAAATTGTTTATTTTCACCCTTTTGCATTGTTTATGAGTTGTATAAATGGAAAAAGTGCCAATAATATCTGAATTGTTGAATAAAATAAAAGCAACAACACGTAATATCACACATTTTTGTTTTAATGTGTACAACACGACAGGTTTATTTGTTTCCTCTGTCGCTCATACTCTCTGTTCGCATTACTTGTTTCTTTCAAAACGATTGTTATTTATTTTTAAAAATTGCATTTCGTTGTTAAAAAAGGGTAAATGAATAACTACAGCTGGAGGAATGGTTTTTACGTTCTTTTTCTCTCGAGCATATTTATTCATTTGCATTTTTCATAACTGTTAGCAGCATTCAAGAGCGAATAAAAAAAATCATGACTACAACACGAAAACGATTCAAATGCGCGGCGTGATGACGACAGAAAATTTTGTGCACTGGGAACAAAAATCACAAATGAAATTAAAAAAAAAAAATAAAAATACCTCCAGTGTTATTAAATTGCATTCGCAAAAAGATCATACAATCAGCATGGAATATGCAAATTCACGGGCTTCACTATACATAACAGCATAAATCAATTGATATTTGTTTCTCTCTCTCTCTCTCTCTCTCTCTCTCTCTCTCTCTCTCGTTATCTCTTTCTGCCGGCACATTTCTGTTTAAATACTTTAACACAAATTCCTGTCACACGCTCTCTGTAACTGTGCGGCAAAAGTTTAATTCGTTTAATTTTGTTGAAAATTTGCCGAGATTCCTTTTTTTATGCTTTAGCGCATACCATGTGTATTCTCCAGGACTCGAAAACATTAAACAAAAATATATATTTAAATTTATGAACGGATTTGGTGCATTCAATTTAAATTAGTGACATCCGAAAACTCCACTGTAAATTTCATCGTATTTAAGTTAAGGTTATTAATTGTATGGTAATAACGCATTGATTTTTAAGGTACATTTCCCACTGCACTGTATAATGCAGTATGTATGCATGGACCTCAGTCTTTGTTTTTATTATCATACGCAATCGACAGTTTTCTGCTTCATTTAATTCGAATAAAATGTGCATTGCCACACGCTTATTGTGCTTCTTCATTTTAATAGCACGTAATTTATGCAGGCTTAAAACATAGTTGTGGGTGAATCTCTTCGAATTTAATGATGCAAATGCTGTATAAAAAATGTTTTTTCATCAAAATGCACTAATTGATTCGTTTGTTTTAAATTCCAAGAAAATCTCTTCAAAATATTCTTGATTTATGCTTGCACGGTATACGGGATGGGGCTAAAAATAGAAATGTATTATTGTCTACTCTCAACAAATATTCTTTTTTTGAAACAATTACAAATGATGTAGTCAAATGTTCTTCGGTGAAGATAATAGTGAAGAACCACGCAAAAAAAGTTCACTTTTATCAAGATGAAAATGAATTTCTTTGAATGTCGTCTGTGTTATGCTGCACCGAGGTTTCAATGGTCATTCAAAGTTTTCCATCTGTAACGAACTTTGAAAAGGTAAATTAGAAGTGAAGCTTTCAGCAATAATTACGAATATATCGGTAAGCAACAAAAGGGCGAGAGAAAAAAGAATGTTGGTCACGCGATATTGAGATTCAGAGTTTGTTGCGAAATTATGGTGGAGCCATTGTACGCGACCACACAATGACTGAAGAATAATTAAAATACCTGTGTGGCGAAGAAGAATCTGCAAAAATGTTGAATGTAAAAAGGTTTTTTTCCTCTGTAAAAGATACAAGCATTAATTACACATTTTGTTCGTTTTACTTGCCATTCACGAACTAAATGAATCCTCTTCTGTCCTCGGGCTCGATTACAAAATGCACCACGATTTCGAACATCTATTTTTTTCTGTTTCGCCCTTTCTCTCTATCTATCATTCGCAGTTCTTTCTTTCTCTCGCCAACCTTTAATTCAAATTTTAACGAGCATAAGCAGTACTTTGGTTTCACAGATGCCATCAGTACCATTTACAACCAAAAAGAATAAACTGAGTATTTTGCGGTCGCATTCTAGTGTGAAATCGCCGGTTTGGAGCAGTGACGCCAGATGAAGAAAAAAAAAAGTCCCAGGACTTGTAATTAGTTTAATGTACTGGAATACTTTCATGCTCTGATTGGCACATTCTTGATTCATAATAATTTGCGTGTCGGTTTTTTCTCTTTCGCCATTTCTCTGCTGTGGAAACGTGCTTTTGTGTAGTTTCCTTCGATTTGACTTGAAAAATGGTTTCGCAATCAAGCTTATAGATTTTTGAATAAGTTCAAAAAATTGGTACTCTCACAGTACGGCAGACTAACCGACCGATACACACTGAAAATAATAAATTATTTCTTTGTTCATTTTTCTCAACCAGAATGGACTATAATTGTCGACATTAATTCATTTTTGAGTTGGCTCGTTGAATCATCATCATCATCATCGGCTATAGCTTCATCCTCTAGCGTACTTACACAACCGATTGCAATTTACATCGAATTGCGCCCGAGTATTTCGATGAAAAAAAAAGCGGTAAATCGTAATACATAATACATAGTGGGAAATAGTTGAAAATGCTAGAAGTACGACAATCAAAAACAATTAATTGCCAACAACTGGTGATTACTTTTCATGTTTCTGCATAGCATTCGATGGCAAAGGTATTTACCTCAAACAATGCTGAAATTGGTTCTGTTTGTCTGGAATATTCAGTATATTTGAAAATCAGCAGTAGCAAATGCTTTATTTTTGTTGCATTATTTGCTCGACTAGTTCAAATTATTTACAACAATTTTGTTCACGATTAATTTTCATTTCCAAACAAAAGAGCAACCTTTTTTTTATTTATAAATGCAACCGACTACGGGCAAAAAAAATTGTCGTACATTATTTCACCCTTTTACGAAATACAAACTACAAAAAGGATAAATTACAGCGATTAGATAACATTGTTCACCTACCGCATACCTATAACTATCAGTTCATGCACATCCTGCATTCAATGTGAGCACCAAACAACCTAGATCACCATTTTAATCAAAATACCATTTTTATGCTTTTGCTCTTCTTTGTATTGTATATGCTTTGTGTATGTATATATTTTGTAAATGTAATGTAACTCCAGAACAACGTGAAAATGTTTAATTTCCTCCAATTACGGCTACAATGGCCGACATTTAAACTGAAATTTACATTTTCGATCCAGTACACTAGTACAAAATGGAAAGAGGCACCCATCATCATATCGCTCCGAAATGTTAAAGATCATGCGATGCCATAGATAATGCGCATTATCCTATAGTCGTACTGTGGGTACCCCGAAAACGACACCGAAATTTCTAAAACCATTTGCCAGTGAAGCTATACATGCTGCTCCTTTACTACCTGATTTGCAAAAAATATATATATTACATAAAACAACAACCGTTTTCATCCATTAGTTTTTCAACAAACAAATTTGTTTTATATTCTTTATAACACTTTGAAATTCAAGAAGGAACAACCTATGCTAAAATATCATGGAATGGAAAATGAGAGATTGAGCAACAAAAACACGACCATATTTAATTTGATACGTAAATAATCATTTGAATTACAAGTACATTAAATACCGTACACATGTCAAAAGGCTTATAGTTGCATGAATATTTAATGAGCACAATATTTTCTCGTAAATTTTAAACTTTTTCACGGGTTTAATTATTCACGAACAATTACATTTGATTTTTTTCGTATTGACATGTGAAGCTGACTCCTTTGAGCACAAACGGAATGAAAATTATAACAAAGGGATTTTTATTGACCTCTTCATTGATATGAATGTATTGTTGACATTCGAATACCCACTCTTTGGCAGGTCAGTGGCCACTCGGTCAGGTGATTCTTTTTTTAAAGTATTCAAAGGAACAATTCAATTAAAAAGTCGCCGAAAGATATTTGGTCTGTATATACATTATACATATATAGCAATTCGAATTCGTTTGGGACATTTTCAATATGATATTTACCATAAAAAAGTTCACAAGCTATATTGTATGTGGTATTACGCTAATGTGAAGAATAAAGGCGATCGTCGGAACAATTGAAGTAAAATTTCAATCAATAGAATGAAACAAAAGCAATAATGTTGAAATCACCATGGAAATCATATTTTTCTATTAATTTTCTCTGATGAAGACTTGCATCAAGCACACAGAAATGCCATTGCAACTTATGGGACTATGAATATATCCATTCATCCGTGTATCATCATTTTTCCCTGCTACATTGTCGTACATCATTTACTGAGCCTGAACGATATGGGATTTGCGTGAGGCCAAACACAATACAATTTCTCGAGAAAAATACGACTGGGAATTGATCACATGCTTGAGTTCAAAGTTCAAGGAGATCTGGATTTAATTAAAGTTGATTTGTGATTTACTTTCACATTTCCCAGCTGCTTTCACAAAAATGAATTTCTTTATAATAAATAGAATACTAATCTGATTAAAAAATTGAACAAAATGTTTTGATAAAGCCAATAGAATTTTCCATAAATGAGTATCAATAAAGGAGAATGCGTTTGTTATTCACAAAAAATGAGTTAGATGCGTCACTCACTCATGGTTATATTTAGCCTTGTCAACATGAACTAAAGTTTAGTTACTAAACAAATAACAATAAGAAAATTGAATTCCAGGTTTTGGAATTTAATAAAGTTCGAACTCAAAGTGACTTTATGACGAATTCAGATTCACAGCAAAAATAAAATATTTATCACGAATATATACAAAAAAAATATACCTACCATAGAGTTGCCACCATTTTCAGTGTTGAAAAGCTTTTAACAAAATTCAAAAACATATTTTTTGTGACGATTTTATTCAGTTGATGTTTTTATTTCAATTCAATTTTAATGCACATTATTATTTGTTTGTTCAAACATATTTTACAATTTTTTCATCATTCATTTTCAATTTGTTATATATGTAAATGTACAACAAAATCCGTAACTTTTCTGTCGGTAATTAGTAATTTGAGCATGAATAATGCGCTTTTCGTGTGCAATCGACCGTTCGTATCGAAAATTTCAATCATTTTTTTTATTCATTTATTTATATGTTTGTTTTGCTTAACTAATTTACACTAATCTGGTTTGTTCCGTGAGTTTTGTGATTTCATCAATTTACTTTTTCGGTATCTTATTCTCTTATGATTACAAACGATTTTAACCCTCGTATATATATATAAAACATCATGGCTTTACTTCATCTTCATAATCATTGTTTTTTTTCTTCATTTTTTTTTTTTCAATTATGTATATATCTAATGTAATATGTGTATATATTTTTGTGATTTTTTTTATCTCCTTCACTTTCATATATAAAATATTCTGGTTTGTTCATTCAGTTATTGATTTTAAATTCAATCAATTTTTAACATCAAATATTTCCATACATTACACTTATCATCGCCGTTAGATTTGTATAATAGCTGCATTTAGACGGCATTTTTCGTGTATTTTTAGTTTTGTGAAACATAAACAGTAAACTATTTTTTTGATCGAATATTAAAATTTGTTCGTCACTAAAAAGATTCATTCATTTCTTTCGCTCTCTTGCGATCGCTCGCAGAAGAAAATAAAAAACACAAACAAAACAATAAAATAAACTTTACGAATATATATAATTAACATTCGCATTTCATACATTTGTTGTATCAAAATTTTCCTAATTTTATAGTCAATTCATGGTGTATGTTAAGACGTCAGACGTTAAAACGGTAAATTTTAAAATGAAATCGGGTGTCGATTTCAAAATCAACGAAACATTCCATGTAGATTTTGCTGTTTAACCGTCTGGCATTTTACCATTTCACACAACACAAATTTATATTAAAAATTTAATAAGAGAATTTTAAACTAAAATTAGAATCTAAAAGATCTGCGGTCTTTTGTATCTGTACTGAATTTGAGTCTTAATTTATCTCACTTATCAACAGATTGAAATCGAAAAAAAAAAATAGTTGATTAAAATGCATCTGAAGGTTTGTTAAAAGGACAGAGGATTGGGATTGGTAAAAAAAAGAAACAAACCAGCTTTAGGCTAACACAGAGAAAAAGTATTTAGTTTTAGTTGGTTAATTCTTTTTTTTTCTTTGAACGTTTAAGTATTTAAGGAGTAGTTACATATATGGTAAGTTTTCTTCTGCTTCTTCTTTCGAGCAATCTCGGCAAAAATTCCAGAATTAATGTGAATATGTACAAATAGATCGGAAAGCTAAAATAAGCTTTCATTCATTCAATGTGTGTGTGTGGTTTTCCAATTTCGATTCCTATGTATTTGTATGGAATGGTATCCGTTCGGTTTTCGATTCGTTGATATTGATACTGGTTGTATCGTCTTCCCTGTCATCGTCGTCAGTCACTTCATCACTGTACGATAGCATTGGTTGGCTCAAATTTTCTTCGGCTGATACGATAAGCGTGTTGGTTGTTCGGTGCGTTCGATGACTTTGTGCATTCAGTGGTGTATCCATTGACAATTTGTTATATCTAACATTGGTGTGGGTTCGATTTTTCGTGTTTTTCTAGAGTTTTAATAATAGAAATGGAGATCGAAAAAAGAAATTGATTCAAATATTTATATTTGCCGAATGAAAAAAAACATTCCGTTTAGTTTTGTGTTGTTGTAAAAAAGTTCGAGAAAAGGACAAGAAAACAGCAACTTTAAAATCACAACATTAAGGATATGAAGTATTTTTAAAAGAGAGCATGACTCAAAATTTCCGGCGTTTAAAGTTAGTATGTACAAACGTTTAACGATACAAAAGCTAAATGGTATACACTTTACAGCAAAAAGTGATGGTAAAAACCGAGAAAAAGAACTAATCGCTGCAAGTTAAAAGAAGTGAAGAACACTTTTGCCAGTTCTTTTTGTCACTATCAAATATACTGTCGCTCGGTGTTTTTTTCGCTCTCTTTCTCTCTTAGTTATGAGTTTTAGCTATTTTTGTGATTGTTCAAGGACATATTAAACGGCAAGTGGTTTGGTAGTTTTTCTTGTTTCGCCTTTGGATTATTTACAGCTTTTGTCGTTCGCTGCAATCGCATTTTATGACGCTCTTTAATTTCCCTTCTGTTTTCTGAAGCAGAGCAAGTGGGTAAAATGCAGCTTGAGGGTATAACAACTTTTCACAATATTAAAAGCTTCAACGACTTGTTACGATTGTCGTTTTCAACAGCACGAAAGTGAGTTGTTTTAGTTCACATAAATGTTACCAATTGTTTGGATTGCGAACACAATTTTCAACTCAATTGTTCTACGTTTTACCTACATCATATAATCGAAGAACATTGTAAAATGAACGAAAGACACTCTGGTTCACTCTGTACATCGTCAAAATGCTGATGAATCGATCACAATAAAAAAAAACGCGTGAGAGCGATTGAGTGATGCAATTCGCTTTGTCAATGGCACAGAAAATAAAAAGAGAATAAAACCAACAACAACAAAACATGTTTTTTTCTTCTTCAAAAATGAAGATTATACGAACCTGTAATACAACAACGACTATGGCGAATACTGAAATGATCAATATACATGCTGCGAGAGCAATTGCTGTAATTGCTGTTGTTGCTGGTGTAATGTGACCAAATCCATTGTTTCCATTTCCATCGTTGTTCAGTTTTCCGCTAATTCCGAACATACTGTCGTCGCTGAATTGTTGCTCCTCAATACCGTTGGCAATGCGACGCTTACCCGCCATGATTTTACCATTTATGCATCCACCTGACAAAATAATTGGCAACGGGAACAAAAACAACCAAAAATGAGTTAAATGCAAAGGCAGAGTCGAAAGTTAGAGATAGTGAGAGTGAAATAAAAAAGAAGGAAAGAAATTGGAATGAGTCAGCAACGAAACGGCAAATTGCATGTAAATTACATTGGATATAGAACAATGCATTCACAGTACACCGTGCTCGCACAGCAAGAGATAGAGACACACAATGAAATGAAATTGCATTCAAGTCGCCTATTATCATGATATAACACAATTTATTTTTGCATATAAATTAATTAATTACACGAAGGCGACTCGAACGACATACCATACATTAAAGCGTTATTATTCCACTGTGCGATAGCATCAGCCACTCGACAGTCGACACACACACACTCACACAAACACACCAAAAAAGGAAGCACCATTTCGCACTTTCATTTCCATTTTTCTTCATTCGATTCATTACAACGACAAACACAAAGGCAAAATAATTAAATTTCATGGTAATTTTATGTGTGTGCTTGTGTGTTTTCCAACTGCTTCTTCGTCATACAATTTGTTTGCGAAAAGTAAATGAGGTGTGTTGTATCATACCTGTATCCTTGTCACAATGACAACAAGACTGATCGTCGGGCATAGCACCACCGGTTGGACAACAAGGCACACATTGATTATTCAGTCGATCTAAATGCAATGGAAATGCACATGCAACGCAAGAATATTGACCAGGACCACTGCATGATCGGCACGATTCATGGCACGTTTTACATGTTTGAGTCATTGGATCGTAGAATTGTGAACCCAAGCACTCCATACATAAACCACCATCAAGCATATAATGGGCAGGACATGAAGTGCAGGAAAGTGGACCAGCGCCTGAAATTCAAACAAATTTAATAAATATTTATGAAAATATATTGTCTAGCATTCTGCAGAAAATGTCACTTATTTATTTAATAAGAAGTTCAGACGAAGAAAATGGTAAATGGACGAACTTAATTCAAAATTACGAAAATAAAGTCGCTCCCGTACTTCAAAAACATTTTTTAGTTTTCTTTAAATTAAGCAATTTTCTCGACAACTCATCAAGCGTGATGACGAAAAGAAATGCTCTCTGATTACAGTTAAACAAAGTCATCTCATTTTGTTAACAAAATAATGTATACAAAAAGATACTTCGCTTACTCGCGCTGACGAATAGTAGTGCTCTCAAAGAAAATATCGGGGAAGCATTCTCAATGAGTGAGGGGGGCGCAAAAAACTCTCGAGTTTGAATAAAGAAATGAAAGGTAATTTTCAGCAAGGTAATGCATTTTTGCAAGTTGCGTTTAATACTAAATGAGTCGCTATCCATTTGTTCTCTCTCTCTTTCTTAATTTTGCGATACTTTAGTAAATTAATTTGTCTGTCAACTGAAACGCTTACTATGTCTAATTATTCTCAAAAGTCAAATTAATTTGCTAATTTACAAAAGCAAGCGTTCAATTGCTGAAACTTAAGAAAAAAAACAACGAAACGAAACCATTGCACATGAATTTGCTATATTCACTTTATCTTTTTAAGAAGTGGTGTTTTTTTCTGTTTGTAATATAAAAGTTATTTTTTCATTTTACGACTGCCAAGAGGGACATTACCGATGCAAAACACACCATTTGCCAGGTGGCAAAAAATACATTGAAATGAAACTATAAAAATGTTGAGGCAGAAAGCAAGACAATGGACGACGTTCGAATTGTTCGCCAAACTGTATAGTATACAGAATGAACAAGCGCATAGAGTAAAAGGTGAATTACTTAAAAAGTGTGCCTTGGAGAGACATTTTTGGGAATTTACCTGAACACGTTTTACAATAATGATGACACTTTTGGCAACCAAATTCCGATTTAAAGAAACCCTCTGGACATTCCGGATGACATTCACCGCTGGCTAATTGCCAATCTTTTGGACAGGTCACACACTGATCGCGTCTCGGTCCACTGCATGTTGCACAACTCAAGTAACATTTTGAGCATGTTCCACGATCACTGTAGTACCTATGGATTTTAAATGGCACAAGCATTACGATATCCGTCCGATGATGGTAAATTTGTGCGATAGAAAATAGAAATGAAAAAAAAAATACGTTAATTTATATTCGGTTGGAATTTTTTTTATTCTATATTGTGTGAAACGGGATGAAGTAATCAAATGTATGCATGAACACACTTTGTCCGTAGAATGGAGAGAGAATGATAGAGAGAGAGAGAGAGAGAGAGAGAGATTCGACGAGCACAACTCAAACACATGCTGAACCAAACGATGACCTAAATGCCAAACGTAGAACGCCATTTGAAAAGATATTCTCATTTGGATGACACGTACACCAGAACGTTCACTTTAAACAAATGCAAACCACGCACAAATACTTGACCAACACTTGGCAAATGTGTCACATTCTCACATTGAACACCATATTTTATGGAATGCAAGAGAAAGCTCACCATCACTTTGCGCTCTATGCTTTCTTCATACGCCATTGTGAATGAAGTGTGTGCGGATTCCTGGATGTACACCAAGTGCTCAAACTTAAAATAAATAGAAAGGATTTTTTTTGCGTAAGCCATAGCATCTCCGGTATTGAGTGTGGCCGGTTGGAGTTGAAAATGTGTCACTCGACGTTATGTTGGCTTATTTGTTTTATTGCTTCGTATGAGTTGCTTGTTTTGTGGGGTGGCGGTCAGGCGTTTGCATTTTTCGTAGTATGTGACAGCGATTCTCTTCCTCTCTCTCTGCGTGTCTCTTTTTCTCCCTCATTCGTTCACCTTAAAGCAGAGCACACGACTCAAAAGTGCATGACTGGGATTGAGTGTATTGTGCGTGTGTGTATTTGTGTGTACGAATACAAAATACTCATCAGCACAGTGTGTACAGGCATATAATATTTGAAATTCCATTGCTAAGCCAAAGTCAAAGCCATACGACTTTCAACATCAAATGCAATATAGTTTAATTACATAACTTACCCTTGAGCGCACGTTGTACGACATTCTCCGCTTTGTAATTGCAATCCTTTTGCACAGGCCGTACAGTTCATTCGTGATACACATTGGGTGCAAGTGTGTAAGCATTTTGCACAAACACCAGCTTCCATATAGTAGCCATCATCACAGGTACTTACACATTTATTATTTTTACGAAGCAAAGGCGATGCACATGTTAAGCAATCGTTTTCGGTTGGTCCGTCGCACGTTTCGCATGTCGAATGACAGGCATGACAATGTCCATTATCATAATATTCGGCTGTTGTATTTTGAAAAAAAAAACGGAAACGAGAAAGAAAATAAAGAGGTTGGCGATGAAATTACGAAAAGGAATCTGATGAGCTTGAGCTCACATTCGAAATATATAAACATGAATACAATGTCCTATTACAATTACTGCTTGAACTTTCACATTCGCATACGGATAAAATCATACAGAGTTAAAGTGCATGTTGCCGTGAGAGTTGAATTTCCGGAAGTTGTGGTCAAGCATTATCATAAGATACTCTTCATTTAATCGGTCCACTGTTCATGGCATTTGAATGACCAAAGTAGAATGACATTCGAGTTTTAAAGGGGCTCTCATTTTGTGCACGATCCATATACCGACATCCGTGCATCATTTAACAATAGTCGAAAATCGTACGTTTCCATCCAGGGCAATCAATTTTGTGGTGTTTTTCCAGCAATAAGCTTAAAATCTTCCAAGTCCGGTTCAATTGTGCTCACATAAACTATGTTCATCTTCTTTGCCTCACTTTAAACGACACACACTCTGTGATTTTCTCATTTGTTCTTTCCATATCATCTGACTTTTACTAGCAACGTTTATATGCTTTCAACGCACCACAACCAATGTTCTCAAAATTTTATCGTTATCAAAACACTTTTAATCAACAGACAATCGAACCCTTCAAACCATTCCCCATTATTCCCTTACGAAACATCATTTTGTATGTACGTTTACACGTTTCAAATTATGTATACAAAATCCAAAGTTTCATATGTGGACATTTGGTTTTGACCATTACTTAAAATGTCATTTCCGCTTGGAATATGTTTCAGATTGTTTTAAGCAGATATTAAATTGGGCTGAACGAACTTCAGTCAATAAATTTAAGCAAAAGCCGAAAAATGACTTTTGTTATTTGCCAAACACCACCAAGACGTTTTGATGTTTGTTGAATCTGTTACAAACATGATGGTTTCCATTAAGTAATCGTCGGAACAAAAGCAGAGACTCAATTTAATTCTTTGTAATTAAAATAAGTATATAATAAAAAAGCATAAAAATATCCAACCGAAATTTTGAAGAAAATAAGTTATAATAAATGCTCGGTTGCTCAGGTTATTATATCTGGATTCAATGTAAATCATAATTGAGTTCTATACCATTTGAAATTCACCGTAATAATTATACGAGATATAAATCGAAATGGTAAGACAGACTGACGATGGCAACGGCGGTGACGGTGTCGGCTGCTCTGAATATAAATTGCATTCGAGAACATTTCAAACAAAAGATCTGTACCTTTTCTTTTTACTCATTCAATTATGGTGTTTAACAGCTTTCTTAAAATTATGTCGTATTTTTATATTTGCTTGCAATTGTTCTTGTTATTTTTTTTGTGTCGCTATCATTTTATAAAGTGGATGCTTATTTATAATCGCATTTTTGTGTAAGTCCAACATGGCCATCGTGTGCCAGCACTAATTTTCTGTCTCATTTAATGACATGCTTTAATGATTTTTACATTGTATGATAATGCTTATATAAAACAAATTAAACAACCGAATTTTTGACGAAATTCGCATCTAAATTTGTCTCCCCCACTTTATCTTACGGTGTACTGTCATAAACTTATTTCTTTATCATCGGACGTATTTCGGCGAAATTTTACATTACCAATATTGCCTGAGACTAAAGCGTTTATGCGATTTCAAACGAATACAAAATAATCTGAATGAAGTCATAAAAAAATTGCGCTACTAAATTAGAAAAATAAAGTGAACGTGATATGCGAGGTAATGCACGTTTGAGGCGTAATTCCATGTTACGCATATTGCTGTTTTTCTTTTCATAAATTCGGTTTTATGGGGACAGGTGATGTTATATGTTCTTTTGCTCTGTCTTTCGCTTTGAATAATGAAATTGAGCGGCATTGATCCCTGTGGGAATAAGCAAATTTGATCAACTGTCAAATATTCCGTTTGAATTATCTAGCTGACACAAATCCAAAATGATTCGCGCACAGTAGTTGGTCGACATACTGATTATTATTTATAGTAAAAAGAAAACGGATGAATGCACAGCACCAGCAGCTACAGTTGTGGCGGCGGCGGCGGCAATGGTTGTTCAACATTTTTGAGAAGTCGAAATTATGTCAGTTTTGGATTTTTTTTTGCCCAAGGTCTTGGCAGAGATTTAGTGGTATGCTGTGAAAGCGAAATGGTTGAAATAATGAAAAAAATTGACGCTTTTTGAGAACGAACTTTGCTCTCTGTACATAATGATGCGATATGTAGTTTATGAAACGCTATACAAACATAAAGGGATTTTCATCGGATGACAAATAAAAAGCGTTGAATGTTTTTTGCGTTTTTAGCTCAGTGATGTGCATGCTTTAGTGATGGCCCGATGTGAGGAGGAAGAAAAATGAGAGATCGAGATAAATATGTGGATGTAATTTGCTACGCTGCATGTGATATGTGTGTGTGTATGTACGAAAAAAAATAAAAGCAAATAAAGTGCTCAGTAGCGCATTTGTGAACGATGAAAGAACAAAGACGACAGCTGATAAAGAAGAAAATCCAATTTAGTTCGAATATAAAATGTTGAAAATATCCGCACGTCGTACATAAAAAATAAACACATATATATTCGCGTGAGCGCCCGTTTACATACATAGATTCATTCGACTTTCATTCTTTTCGCTCTTTCAAGTTCTTAGCGTAATTCAGTATACACTATCGTGTCATGTTCTTGAATAGCGTTAGTTTCTGCATACTTTATGTGTTGGGTTGTGTTTATTGTGATCTTGTTAATATCAAATTCATCCGTTATTCAACCAAGATCAACGAAAAATATTCGCTTTTTCCCTTTTTTGACACATAGATTTCTAGCATATCCAAGAGTTAAACACGTATGTTGGAAAGTTGAAGTTTTTGGGGTGAATTTAACATGTGAATCGTTTTATACTGATGAGCATCGCTGGCGTTAATTTCTTCGAATTCCAGATTCAGCTGTGTGGTTTTTTTCATCGTTATTTTCTTGTGCTCCCCATTACTTTCAACAGTTTAATATAAAAAGAGCAAAACAATGGGATCCGAATACAAAAAAACACGAGTTAATTCACATGACGCGATTATATTATAGTATTAGTCGAATGTAATGGAAAATCGCATCCAGCGAACACTATCCAATATGCGAGAGTCGTTGAAAACGAAAAAAAGCTATTGATATTCTCAACAAATGGCCATAAAATAGACTGAATGAACAAACATAATGAGTAAACAACACGCGTACAAACGCTATGAGTAGTTGTATACTTAATGCTATGTGTAGCGCCTGTCGAAATGGCTTGAATCGCATCACATTTACTCTTGCCTTGATGCTCTCCAATACATGAGAATTTGGCGCGCTACTATTTTCACACACAAGCTCAAAAGCCAATTTCTTTGCATTCACTTCTTCGGGTCTCTTTTCCCTCCCATTGGGTGTCTGTGTATCGCTTTTCGTAAACGTGTACTTTTTGCTTTCATTTTTATTACATCATTACATATTTTGATATAAACACAATCTACACTTTATGTAATATAGAATAATAAACGATGTGAGTTGGTTGTTTTTCCTCTTTCACTGTACTTCGTTCGATTTTCCTTCTTCGTTCGGCTTTGTTGAGGGGAGGATAAATGGTGTTCGGTTCGTTTGTTTTATGCACATGTGATATTTGGTTTTATTGTACCAAAAATGATTTTAGTATGTGCATAAGCCGTTCACCATTGTACATGTCATATATTCTATATATGATCCGTATAAAATACGTTATTTTGCCCAATGACTCTAGGGCTTAATCTCTCATATTATCTTATTTGCAATTTTTTTCTTTTCTTCTTCGTTTTTCTTTTCGTCTTTTTTTCTCGTTGATTCTTTTTTTGTTGTTGCTCCAGTACCATTTTCCACTTAGATAGAGTGTGTGTGTGTGTGTGTGTGTGTGAGTGTTAGAGCTGTCGGGATATGTGAAAATGAAAACATGCGATTTAACTTGGCATAACGCAAAGAAAATCAGCAATGCTGGAAAATGCGATTTGAAAAGAAAACGAAAAGTAAATCGAATGATGTGGAGAAAATGGATGGCAATCGTTTCACAGATTTCACATGGTCAGTGGCTGTTGAAAGCAGAAATCACAGTTAAATGAAAATAAAATAAAATAAAAGTTTAGGCATGCGGGGAGCAGAAAATGACGCTTTTGAAAATGGAATGTGTCGCATAGTAATCGAAAACACATCGAACTGAAACGAAACGCTTTGAAATGGTACTCGGTTACACGCGCTCCTAGCAACTTCACATCGTTTCGAATGAGTTTTATAATCAAATGCATTGAAAATGTCAACTGGTTTATACGATTATTATGTTTTGTAAGCATCCGGCAGCTTGATTGGTGATAAAACAACCCCCTCTCTTCTGTAATCATCACTGAACACTAAAAACGTTCCGTGATTATTTCAAAAACGAATGGATATTTTCAAGCAGCAGTGGCAGCAATAAACACAAGTGGAATATTCGTTCACCGTTGTTGCTTGGCCATATAAGTACTTACATTCATCACAATTATCACTTCCGTTAAGAATGCAACGATTCTTTTTATTTTTGATCCAATTTTCTTTGCATGTCAAGCAGAATCCGTTATTGGTGCAGGTTTCGCATCCGGTTGTACATTGCATACATTCTTGACGCTTTTTATCACCATAATAACCCGTTGGGCAGTTATTCAAGCATTTCCCTTCAAAAGCAAAACGTCCGGTACGACATGTTATGCACTGCGTTTCCGATGAACCATTACACGTCATACACGATGAATGACACGATGCACAACTACAGAGAAGAAAAAGAGGTGAAACAAATGAAATCGAATTGGTTAGAAATAAATTAAATTGTGGTCTTTTTTTATTTTATAATACATGAAAATGTCCTGTGAATATGCCTGTGCTTCGATTCTTGAATACCAAACGAAACAAGACCGACGTATATGTGTGAGGGAGACAACGTTTCATTGTCTCGAAATCATTTCTCTTTTCCAGTAGATAAATATATTGTCACATTCGATACAGGTATAAGTCAGAAACAATAATTGATTTCTAGTGGCTTGTCGGTGTTGGATTATTTTTTGTTTCGCTGAGAGTGGCCATCATTTATGCACCCAAGTTGACTTGATATCCGGCACCAAAAATGGCATTGCATTTGAAAATATTTCTATAGTGATAAAAAATGAGACCGTAACAACAATTAATTGGTGTCCGAAACCGAAACAGACGTATTTTATGCATGGCAGACAATAGTTTATTGTTGTTTGTCTGTTTAATTGGTTTATTTCGTACATTTATTTATTCATTTCGACCATAAAAGTAAAACGCCACTGACAACGCCACACATTCACAGCAAAAACTATCAAGTAAAAAAGGCGCGTCCAATAAAATGTAATCCATTGCATTTCCGATTTGGTTGACGTGGTATCGATATGGATGTATGCCAATGGCAGAGAAAAAATGCAATTAAATTGTAATTTAAATGCCGGCATCCATTGAAAAAGTAGTTACACAATGTCATATTGTCAATATTACATACACTATATATATGAACTTATTTTTGATCTTTCAGTTTTACGTTAAATGGACTATGCCATTCATTTACGTCTATCTCGCTGTAAATTGGTTGAAAGATCGAGTGTAAAAATAATTTGGGCATTTTTTTGTTTTGTAATTGTATTTTTCAGTAACGTATGATTTGACTCAGGCACATCTACCCAAAAATATATTTTTACATTTGATTCTAATTGGGTTATCAACATTTCTCTTAAATGAGCTTACTATGTGGTATGCTTTGCACAATGAACCGTGTAATATTTATTAATTAGCAGTTTCTTTGAGCATTATATCTTTTTGTTTTTCAGGAAATCTTTTAAAATTAAAGATTTTTTCAATTCGAAAGTTTTGTCTCCATTAAGGTTCTGTAGAACGAATCCATCGTGGATGCCATTGAATTCACTACCGCAAAGCATTATATAACAAATAATAAAAGTGAAGTCATCGGCGTTGTCTGATTTGACGTTATTTAAAATGAGTCAATTTTTATAGTAATGCAAAATGGATTTTGATTGAAAAACACATTCCTGCGGTTTCAAAGTCCATCATTTACATATACACATCAATCGTAATGAAAAACACGTCAAACATAAAACAGAAAATGAAACGTTCAAATAAATCGAAAATTATATGGTAAGCCAAAGTCATTCATTAAATATCAAATATAATATCTCTTTTATGGAAACCTGAACCAACGGTCAATAAAACCAATTTTGAAAAATTGTAATTTTCCCATTTTCACTAACTATTAAACCAGACGGTCCAACCACATAATTTTTATTGAAAAATTATCTGCAATGAGTTTTAAATTTCATTTGGTCAGCATTGTGTCAATAATGTAAAAAAGGCAGTAGAATGGCAGTAGCGGTGTAATTTACATTTGGTATGGCTCTTTTTGTCCCTTGCCCATTTTCGTTGGAAAATGTGGATGCCATCAAAAGAGAGCTGACCATTGGAATGTGTATTGGTTTGATTTGGTTATATAATAATGTCGGACCGATATTTTTTTCGCTAACCACATCAAAGTTGGACTTTAATAAAGTCGTTTGATCAACCGCCAATACATACAGTGTGCGATTTTTTTGTGTAGATTTTGGCTAATTGTGAACAAATATTATAGAATTGATTGGTTGAATTGTGGGAGATTAACGTGTAGAAGCAAATAACAAAAATCTAACTTTAATTTAATGGAGCTAGTGCAGCTGCATAGTTTTTATCGCTGAATATTTGATGTTGTCAAACGAAATTTTTTTCGGATTGAATTGAATATTCATTGTTAATGGATACTTTGAATCGGTTTATTTGTTGAATTTCACAAGTTTCCCGAAACCGAAAATTGAAAGGCCTTGCAAAATTACTTTTTTCAAAGTTGAGATAAATTTTAATGATTTTAATGGATCGAATGTGGAAATTCAATTAGTTTTATACAAAAAAAAATCATTCAGATTGTTAAAATTATTTGAATTTGCCAACTGGTTCGATTGTACATGATAACTTTCGGTTTACATGTGAAATAAATAGGGGTAAAATAATTGATACAATACAAAAATGTTGAAGAATTGTAGAGCAATTTGATGCGTTTCATTAAATGAAAATGTGTTGAAATCAAACCAAATGCTTTTCTCTTTATAATTAATGATCCTATAAATAATCCCGTCGAAATGATGATGAGGATTGAATAGGGATTCAAACGGGACAAGCATTACGAACAAGATTAGGCGATTACATTTATATGATGCAATCAAATGACATTTCACGACAATTTCAATTACACCGAAGAAAAGTTGAAATCATCAATTCCGGGGTTGTTTGTGCATTTTTTCGATTATTTATATTTATCGATGACAGGTAAACGTATAAAGGTTCTCACATAAGAACTCGAAATCGATGTGAATTTGACGGTAATGATGACATTCGATGAGAGCCAAAAAACGATTCGTTTCGAATACAAGCATGATATATGAATGGAAGGAAATATCGTAATCTACTTGAGATACCAAAAGCACTGCACACAGACACCGGAATTGGTTCGCACGAAAACCAGATGAACGAGACACCGAAAGTCTTACCGTAGAGTCAAAATCATGCCGCAATACAGCTTTCGATTTTATAGTTTACGATCGAACTGGATGCTGGATGCAGGTAGGGTGTGCTGTCTATAAATTGAATTCGACATTGATTGAAGTGGTCGTTGTAAGCATATTCCATATAGACAAATACAAATGCCTCAAGCATATTTGCTGTACTCTGTGGTTAAACGATAAATCCACACACACTCGAGCGAACGGAGTGCGGCCAACAATTGAGCACACAAATTCAGGTAGGACATTGTATTCGTTTAAATTTAAACGATTCAATTAATCTTATCGGGTTGAGTTTTTGAGGCGGGGGCGCAATGCTTTTATTTTATGTGGCTTTCAAAACGGTATGGCTTTACATCAATTTTTCATTGATGGTTAGCCAGAGTGTAAACCTTGTACCGATTTGGGATTAGTGTATCTATTTACGAGAGAGAGGGAAAGAGTGGAAGAGAGAAGGACTGAACCAAGTAGCGAATACTACATGGAACAGAAGAGTACCTCTCTCGTTAACGATTTTATTAAGTGAAATTGATGTCGAAATCATTATTACTAGTGTTTGCATTCTTTTCAACAACCCTTTCGAACGTATAACACCATCCAGTCTATGTAACAAGCGTAATTATATAAGTATGTAAATTTAATTAAGTTTCGTTATTTTCTGCTGGGAAAATGCGAGTTTTGCGAATGGATAAACTTAATTTTTACATTCTCTCGAATCGAAGTTAGATTAAATATTCTGATTAAAATATATCTTGTGCTCCAGTTTTCGGTGTGCTCATTCGCTCAATTGAGTTGCAGCTCGGAGTTGCTCAATTGCAACTTCAAACTAATTTCTCATTCTGTGCCGATTTTCTTGTGAAATTGTTGGATCAAATAGAAACGAGACAACTTATAACAAACACATGCACACAGACAGCATTGAATCGGTTTCAACGATGGCGACGACATTGTCGAAAATGTAATATTGTAACATACGAAAAAGTTTAATTTTAATAGAACAGCAAAAACTTTCGTCATATATTTTAATAATGCCCAATTCCAATACGAACTACCACACCATAACACCATAAAGAATGTAACGGAAGAGATAGAACTTCAACTCTATTGTATGAAGACAATGTTATTTTAAAGTTTTCCTTTAATTTTTTAACCCATTTTCTGACTTTTAAATCCTTAGACTTTGCAATATTCAGTGCTTGTGTAAGAATTCTATCTAAATCTATACACGCAACCATTGCAGAAAATAGTTATTTTAATTCTTAACATTACTGAATTCAATACGATTTTCTGCGAAATAATGAATTATTGGAACTTTTTCAGTGAATTTCTCAAGTCAACAAACTAAAAGCCTTTTTTTAACTTCACCCAAACTTTTCATCACTTTGCCAAAGTATACTCGATTTACGCCATTTGAAATTAGTCACAACAATTAAATGCACTTGAAAAGAGTTTTTTTTTTTTTAATTTGAAATGCGCTAATTTTATTTGATCCAGTATGCATGGTGTTTGTTTGTGCAAATTGCATTGGGAATCATTGTTGGAATTTCATTGGACATTCAACACAAGTTTGGAAGCAGAAAGAGAGATAATTACGGAAAACAAACCAAACCGAATGTCCTTTATCAGATGTTTATCTACAAATGGACAGTTAAATACGTTCATTTTGTGAAAGTTCATCTGTTAATGGGAATGGATCGGTTGTTCGAGTGTTCTCGTAGGACCAAATGCATAAAGCATGCGTTTGCGTGTTTGTTCGAGTAAACGGCCTTTAAAAAATTAACAACACGAAACCAAATCCAATTAAATGGCAACAAAAAGATGGAGAGAGAGAGAGAGAGAAAGAGGAAGAAAGAGAGAGAAATTCATGAGGTTCAAGCAATAGCTGTATATTTGGTGAACGTATATTGTCCACAGTGGATGTTGTTGTGTGAGCTCATACTAGTATGTTCATGTATTAAAAACGAGATTCAATTTGATGAGTAGTTTTTGAAGAAATCTCAAATAAAATATTGTTCATGTAACAAGCCAAAGAAAATTGGATCTGAATCATTGGCGAAACAGCCAAATAGTTCCAAATGCAAATGACGAAAATGTATTCAATTTTTTTTTTTCGCCGTTCATGTTCATTTCATCGAATGATTGACACAAAAAT